GCCTGCTGTTGGGCCATTTACCTGGATATTTCCCCAGTTCTTGCAGTTTAGACTCATTGATGTCTGTAGCAATGACTTTGGCTCCTTCTTTCGCAAAAGCCTGGAGAACACAGAAGCAGTTTATATTTAGATATTCCAGGTCATACCAGAAATAAAATCTGTTTTCTTTTCAGGTGCTTTTTGGCTTGAAATAGAAGCCAAGCCAAGCTGAAGGCAGCTGATCTCTCAGTTTTCATTCTGGGCGTATCAGGGAGTTGCACACAACTATGTAACTTTGTGTGATAAGACAGATTTAAGGTGTTTTCCCTAAAGGAAGGAACCTATAAAGTGTAAGAACAGTAACCAGACTAAGATAATGGATATTATTATTGCTCTTATTAGCTGCACTAGTAAGCAACAGGGCTAGAATTGTCTGTATTGTTAACATTTAAATTTAACTAATTTCAATCTAATTTAAATATATTGTTAGATTTAAATTTAAAGTTACAAAATTTGACAGGTAAAGGCAGAAGTCATAAACAAGGATTTTTTTTAACAAAACCCTTTGTATCCAAGTAATTGGAATAGAACAATATTAAAAGCAGCATGACTTTTGATATTTAACCAGAGACACTGCTTCATTCTTGATGTTCTCCTCAAAAGCCTCTTTCTTTTTATTGTGATTACTGATAAATCAACATCTAACACAGTCTGCAAAAGTATTCTGACATCTTGGACTGTAGTCTCTTACCTTCAAAATAGGTGTCCCAAGTGCAGCTTAAGAGGATAGTGACATTAAACATACCAGGCTTCCATGGCTGGTTGGGTGTTTACAAAGTGAAACCATCAGGAGGATTACCTGCTCCTTGGAGTGAGCGATTCATGTAAGAGCCAAGATCAGCAGTCTTCTGTGTTCTCAACCACACACATGAGAAACCAACCACTCTGGGAAAAATGCTACAGGAGCTTTTCCTGAGCTGCTAATTACATTACAGAGATAACAAGATAACTCTACTGGGTTTTTTATTTGCCATGGAAAAGAAAAGTAGCAGGAGAAGAACTGGTCAAAAGCAGTTATGAGCTAACTGGAGAGTTAATACGTACCTTGAATTCTGTTTATCAGTAATCAAATAAAACTTGTAGAGGGCTTCTTACAGCTGCTCATTGTAAACAATGCGTTAGTATCATGTGAACTTGGTTATGTTAGTCATGGCTTTACTGTAGGGGATCCTCACAGTATCCAGCCTTAGACCAGGAAATATTCCCTCTATTATCTCTAATTTTCTCCCAGAACAAAGCAACAGAGATGCTGAAAAAAAGGTACAGGCAGTACCAACCATATATTGTTAGAAAAGCAGATGCAGCTGTCCTCAAATCTTGTTCTTATCCTTGTCTAACATCTCCACTCAGAGTTGAAGATTTTAATAAAATTAAACAGCACAAAGCCTGCATGATACAGCATAGTGGCTACATTATTCCCTGATTTTTTCCGCTGTGTAGTCCTGGCCTCATCTATGGTTCATAAATTCAAGAACTGGTTTGGTGCAGATGTCACTGGACAAGCTAGAATGAGACCCCTTGCACAGGCCCAGCAGAAAACATTTTCCAACTTACAATAGCAGCTGCTCGGCCAATGCCCTGTGCCGCCGCAGACACCAGGATGATCTTCCCATCCAGCCGCCCCATGGTGCTGACCTGCGCAGGCACGGGATGGCACAGACATTTAACAGCGATAAGCCAACACCACCCCCAGGAATCAGATGCAAATACATTCCCAAAACTAGACATGATCCAGGGTGTACCTCTGCCATCACAATTGTCCTGTTTGCCTGCCGTGTGACCCTCGGTTTTCCAGGGTTCTGAAAGGCAGGGCTGCCCCATCTTTTTTTTTTTAGTTGTACGTAAAGGATCTCAAGAAGTCAAAAGGCATTTGAGCTCAGAAGTTAAGCTTCATTATAACAAAAACTGGATGTTATTTTTTCTTAAATGTGAAAAAAAACAAAAGCCAGGATGAAACAGCAATACAATAATTCTTAATCTAGTGTTTCCACTATCAATGGTATTCTCAGAAAGCAGGTCTGTGTTCTGTTTCTCTACAAATTTTTCATATCCTAGACTGCAATACATTCCACACAAGGCCCTGGCTTTCGTATCTGCCCTCAATTGTCTTAGAAATTTCCCAGCACAGCACGCTCCCAGCCCCAGTAAAGCAGGAAAGTGTGGGGGAATGAAGCCCCCAGTCTTGCCTCTTGTTCCCTGTTCTCAGGGAACACTGTTTTTGGGGCAGTAGGGAACCTCTAGGAGCTGCTACCTTAGTGTGGGTGGAACAGCCAAAAGGCAGAATACAGCCCTGTTCAAGTGCTGTGTTAGGTTTAACAAAATACAGCATGCAAAAATGCAGTCAAACAAGTGAAAACTAATACCAAGTCTCAAAGAACTTCCTAAAAAGTGACGTCCCTGTGTTCTAGTCACAGCATAGCATCTGGAGTTTGTTAATTGGGTTCCCCATAAGCAGAACTTCTGCATTCTCATAATCCTCCAAGCAAATTTGTAGATATGGGTGTAGAAATGTGTCATAAGAACAAAGTATTTAAATATATGCATAAATCCAACACACCAAGTACTTCACTGGGAAGTTAAAATAAAGGTGCCATAATCTTCCCTATGTTAGCAGCCAGTGCTGTCCTCTAGAGATGCTCAAATTCATGCTGTGACACAGATTACTGAGTCAAATTCAGTGCACTACTTCTTGAATCAAATATTCTTTTCTCTTTTTTTTGATCAGAAATTGTTTTGTTAGATGTTTTTCCTGACAACAGTTGCAGCAAAACCGTTTTCATGAAGGTTACAGATTCAACAAATTAGACTTTTGAAGCAACGTAATGGAAAAATTCTTTTCTTTCCAAAAGCCACCTGGATCAGTTCAAGTACTTCCCCAAATCGCCTTAACACGTGGGAAGTAAAATGCATCATAAATACATTTTTCAATCCAACAATCAGGTTTTATGAACGTTTGCCATACTGATTCTATGAAGCATTTAGAAATAAATATTATTACAGTCACTCACCGAGAGATCTCAAACAGCTTTGTTATATTTATCGACCCTTGTACAAAAGGAAGCTCTACAGTTTTTTTTCCTGTGCTTGTTGGGATTTGTAGTCCAACTGCTAAATTTCTCTACATAAACGTAATTTCCTGTTGAAACATTGAGATGCTGCCACCTAGTGAAACTCAAGGTTTTAAAAAAGTGCAATTTTTCTCCTGCACAGGAAAGGACACAAAAGTATCACCAGTGTTAGCTGACTCTCTTACAAGGGGAATTCAAGAGATCAGGAGGATCCCCACCAGAAGGCCACAAACCTGTTTTTCCAAGCAATATCTTTTCACAATGTAAACTATCAAATTCCAAATCAGGACAAAACTTATATGACTATTTTTTATTGTTGTTAAACTATATATTTACCAACGTATCTTTTGTTTCTAGTGGTTTAACTTGCATATGTTAAAGCAGAATTAATACCATTAGACTGCAAAATTCTAGGACAAACTAATTTGGCTATAAACTCACACTAGGCTTAAGGCTGCCTGATAGTATTAAGGAATTTCGTGTCCCATCTAAACATCAGTTAGTTCTCAGAAAAGCCACTTCTGTGGATAAACTGGGACACACACCCAAAAGTTCAGTTTATCCTGCCTTTCTGCTAAACTATAATAGCTTTTAAGGCTTTCTAAATCAGCTCCCCAGTAAACAAACCTGTAATGACTTAATCTGCTAAAAGCATTTATCCTTCTGCCCCTAAGCTTTTGCCACCTGAATTCAGCCACCTGTTGCAATAAGTTTCTGCCTTTTTTTAGTTCAGTCACCAGAAAAATCACCAAACCTAGTTGTTCCAAGCGAGTAATAATTAACAAAAAAACCAATGGAAATTGTATATAGAAGAGAGATCTATATATACACCTTCTTTGTGATTCTGGAAGAAGAAAAAAACCCAGTCTAATTGATTTATTAGAACACCAAAATGCTGGTGGCCAAAGGAAACCTCGTTCATCATAGTGGGAAATAAAGTAACAAACCAAACAAAAAAACCAACCCAAAACAAACCCAGAAAACTTCCAACCGACCTCAAAAAAAAAAAACCAACAAAAAACAAAAAACCAAAAAACCCAAAAAAAACCACCACAGACCCACCAGCACTTCGCATTTATCCCTGTCAGAAAATAAATACCTGTGGCTGTGGTCAGAAAGAAGACATTGCAGCACCCAACTCTGTAACAGTATTTAGAACTTGTATATTTTTAAAGGCTCATCATGCCTGTAAAAACTTCCCAAAACACGTTCCAGGCCAGAGATTGAGATAAATCCTTGCAACTTCTTAGTAGGTACAGTGGTTGGCAGTTTTCAGCCATTCAAAGTAAATAGAAGGTTGGCTCTTTACTAAAGAGGTACCTCCATCAGGTATATAATGTCCTTGTGTGACTCCCCAATTCCAGTAACTGCTGAATGCTCAGGAATACGTCAGTGTAGCCATTTGCTTGTCAGTTTGGGTGACCCAAACAGGACCTAGCATCACAGAGATTTACTCCTATAAAATAAAGATGATGCTTTTGATGCAGGTATCTTCTTTAGGTATGACTTTCTCATCTCATGATGATGATTTCATCCTTAATGAAGTTGATCACAGGATAAATTCCTGTTTAGTTGGCAGTGAAGGGCACGGAGTGGGGGAAAGGGAGGAGGATCTAGGTTTTAAACTTGAACCATTTTCTGATAGACTCAAATTAAAAACTCTGACAACAGTAAACTTCTGCACAAATAATTGCTGCAGAAGGTTATAGAGGACGGAGACAAAAAGAATAATAATGATGGAAGTGATGAAATCAGTATAAAAGACAGTCATTTGGTAACATTTGGACACTGAATGTTGCAGTCAGCATCCTTGGGTCACAGCACAAGTGAACAGCAAAACCATTTTTACATATTTAACATAACAAATTTTATTACCAAGTTATATATAAAACATACAAAATGTAGGTCTCACAACACAGATAAGTAGGTTAATGAAAGAGTCCATCTTGTCCCAATGATCTGGTTTGTTTTCCCTTCACTGGAGAAGCAGAAGAATGTGAAGTCTATTGCTTACTATTTAAAAAAACCCCAATACATAACTTCAGACAGGTATGTTGAAAAATGATGCAAAATTCAGAGTTACTCACGGTACCATAATTGGCTGAGCTGCAGAAACTTTTAAGGAGTTTAAGAGAAACCCTTGATTGTGTGCTCTACAAACAGGAGATCAGTAACTTCGGTTGCAGTATCCAAAGAAGTCAAGATTGTGGTGAAAATACAGTTTCTATTGGCCTAAAGAAAGTATGGTATGAAAACCACATGCTAAGAAATAAAAAGAATATTTCTTGCCAAGTCAACAGCACTTTGAAGATAGAAATATCAACACCCCAGAAAAGGGCTGTTCTGGGAATGACAGAAAGAAAAGTTTGAGACTGAGAAGTTTCACAGTAGATTAGTTTGTGATCAATTCCTTGTTTCCATTTTTTCTTCAATACATTAGCCTCTCTGCCATCAAAAAAAATCCACATCAAAACACCAAAGCAGCACATCAGCAGATTAGCAGGTTGTGGGACAAAATCTGGTTTTCCATCTTTGTCCTCATATTCCAGCTTTCCCAGGTGTGGGAAGTAGAAACTCTAAGACAGCAAAGATGGAAGAGGTTGATGGTTTTTAACCTGAAGCAATTTTTTTTTTGTATATGCAGATCCTGGCTGTAGGCGCTGTAAGGGCAGCTAACACAAAGCATCTTTACTGGGTGCTGCAATCAGGGACTTGATCTCTGTCTGAAGTCCCAAACAAGTGCTTAAGATGTTCTTCTGTGGACTCCGTGCCCGCAGGTCGTGTATCTGTACAGAAGACAAGAACATGAAAGCCTTTCTCAGTTAGACAAGCAGCAGGAATACAGTGATTTAATCTTCATTAGTGTTTTGTACATCAGCTATGAAAGCTTTCCTCTGAGGAGCTTTGTGTTGTGAGGAAAGCTGTGCTGTTACCAAGTTGGCCATCACAAAGCCATATAATGAGTCATGTTCTTTCTGGAAGCCTGCTACTAATACCTCAAAAACTGTCTAGTCTTCAACATGTTTGCTGGGGCCTTCTGAAAGCTGTGAGAAGCACGAGGGCAGAAGGTCACTAAAAGTCAGCAGGCCAGATATAAGAAATCTGAAGTGAGGTTGAGGAACAGAAGTTCTCATCAAAACAGCTATTATTGCAGCTGGAGCCAGGCAGAGTAGCAAATGCAACATCAAAGGCTAAAGTCTACCACCTTGAAAAACTTCCTAAAAAAGTTAACCAGCAGTCAACTTTATATAGTTTTACCAGAAATCTGTGCTTAACCAATGTAAAGTTAAAAACCAAAACATTTTAGAGCACCAGCTGTCTAATAATATTTTGCTGACTCACTTCTAGAAGTCACTCATCAATACTTCCACTGAAGAAAAGGAAAAAGGGTTTGTATATTCTTCAGCAGGTGAAGGATTCATTTTGGTATTTTGATTCTGTAGAGCATACAGAAGCTTCACAGCTCAGATTGTCAGCTTTTCAACAGTCATATGACAAACCATTCAAGAAAACTGTTATCATGCAAGTTTCAGATCTGAGGCCATCCCTTACATTTTGCATCTTCAAATTTTATAGGACTCTCCCACCATGTTACATACCTGTTAGCACACCCAAGTTGGAATTATCAAAGAAATTTGTTGGACAAGTCAGAGGCAGAGGTTTAGGTAGGTCCTGAGTCACTGTTTCCTGAGAAACAGTTTCCTTGCAGGGTGAAGGCATTTGCTCTTTAAAGAAATATGACACTGCCTTCTTAGGAGACTTTGGTATTGTCTCTCGAGAAGTTTCTCTCAAGGATCGTTCTCTCCATTTTAGTGCTCTTTCTTTCCATTTCCTGAGTTCCTCTTTCAGTTGAAGTTCATCACTGCAAAGAAAAGAACCCCAGCATACAATTAAGAAGAGTTTAAAGCAATTTCTTTAAGAAAAAATTCCTGAAGAACAGACAATTTCCTGTATTTTGAGATGACATGTGACAGGCATGGCAGTACAACAGCTGTGTGTCTTGGTTTCAGAGGATTTTTTTAAGCTGAAATTCCTTCCAATGTACAATTCAAGTGTGTCTTCCATCATTTAAAAGATTCTTAAAAAAGCAAGCAATTTAAAGTCCAAAAGGCCTTTATGGCTTTATAAGCCATAAAACACTAGCTTTATAAGCCATAAAACACTAGCTTTATATAAAAGTTTATGATGTGAAATCTAAAATTAATGGTTACTCACTTCCATAGGTCTCCCAGGAACCAACTCTAATGATGTCCATAAATACAACAAATTATTTGACATGCTGCTAGTCAGCTGTCCACTTACCTCAGTAGAAGGTCGTTTTGCTTCTTCAGCTGCAAGTTCTCTTTCTGTAGCTTGGCTTGTTCAGATTTTAGAACAAGTATTTGTGTGCTCTGCACAATACCACTGCCACCACCACAAGTAAGGGGTATTTGGGATTGCTGAGGATCTGGTTCTTTCAGCACTAGAAAACAGATTTATACGTTATGTGTGTGCATTATTTGGAGAGTGCTTAAAACCAAACCAATACATTTTTTAGCCTATTCCTTCTTGTGATCTTATATGTGAAACTTCACTGGGTTACAAGAGGCATTACAACAGTTACTCTTTTTTCCACACAAAACACACCTCCCAGTATTCACACTGCCACGGAGATATTCAGAAACACGACAGATTCTTCACTGGGCCATTTAGAGGTAAACTAGTTATTGTTCCAGGTATGTCATAGCTTTGATTAGAACTAGGTATTCATATGTCAAGGAGAAAGTGGCAACATGAGCTACCATCACTGCAGCTTATCCCTCCACAAGGGCAAATGTGGCTGGAGAAAAACACAAGAGCTGCTGTGATTCTAATGCATTTCATATGCAGCTAATGTAATCTACTTTCCACCTCATCTTCCAATGCACCCAGTTCTCACACCCTTTGAGTACAAAGCCTGCACCTCAATCTGGTCTTCAAACATTTAACCTCAAAACTCAGTGTTTAACATGACAGAGTCCATTCTATTTATCCTGAATATATCACATTGAGTAAATACCAGTGACATCTTGCTCTTGGTGTGCTCTTCTCAGCTCTTCCTTTAGCTTTTTTAACTGTTGTTCTTGGTGTTCTGCAGTGGCTTTATAATTACGAAGACTATATGAAGCATGAAGGGAGGGAAAAAATCAGAAAATCTCAGTTTAATAGTTATTACACTTTCAGTTGAATTCTAATGAGCTATCAAATACAAGACACACCCATGTTATACAAGAAAAACTACATAAACCTGGTTGTCAGTCAGATTTTAGATAAAGTGCACCCAAAAGTTAGACTAATTATTTTTGGTGTATCCCTTCTCTCTAGTGAAGTACAAAGTGCTTTCAGTTATTGCTTTCCCCTTGCCTTCTTTTGTGAGAACAGTTGTTTCATTTATGGCTGAACACCGTTGATTGAGAAATTTTATGGGTGTATACGGAAGAAGTAAGCAACCCAAGGTGCATATAGATTTTACTTTCTCTAATCACCATAAAAACTTATAACACCTCAAGCTGAATGCTTACTTCTTATTATGTGGGAAAAGAGCAAAGTAGAAGCTAAGAATGAAGTAGTTGAGAATTGTAAGAAGATAAAATTTGAACTTACTTCTCTTCAAAGAAGTTGGATTGTTTCATTCTTTCCAGATCACATTTTACCAATTGTGTTTTCAGATGGTCAATTTCTTCTTTGTACAGCTCAGCACCTTTATCTAATTTTGCCTGAAAATAAAATATTTAGTAAAAATAAGGGCTTTTTACTTAGCAATGAAATTAAGGGTTGTTTACCTTGTATCTTTACTATGATCTGCTAGATTTTGCAGGACAAGATCACGAGGAGGAAGTTATTTTTCACTAAGGTGGCTTACTTTACCAACTTGCACTATAGTACCTGTTGGTATCCTAATCTGGTGTATTACATGCAACCATATTTTGGCAAGTTTTGCTGACTTCTGTGCAGATATAAATCTGGGAATTTTAAAGTAGTGTGCAAATATATCACACTGAGTAAACAGTTCATGCTTCAGTTTAAAAGTTTGAAAATGTTTTAAGTGTTTCAGAAATTCATCACATACAAGTGACACATTTAGTTTCTAGTATCATAATTTGGATTCTAAGTGTTGCCACTGAAGGTTGCACCGGTAGAATGTGAAATTGTCTGTTAAACAGGCAAGTGGAATTTACTCTAGGAATGCCATACAGAACAAATACATTGACTATGGAGAGCTGAGTTTCACCTACAACTGTTGTCAAGCATGCTTTGTGTCTTCCATCAGAGGAGAAAGAGAAGAGTGAAGTATTTTGCTCATACCTGAAGACTCTGATTCTCTGTTAAAGCAGTCCTAAGGCAATTATCCATCTCATTCAGTTTGGCTTGCAGTTGGGTGAGCTCACTTGTCTCTGTTCTTATTCTTATTTGTGCTTGTAACTTGCTTATCTTGTCATCTCTCTCTTTGACACTTTCTCCTACTTCATTTATTACATTTTCTAACTTCTGAATTTTTACTTTCATAGCCTATTGAGACATCAATCAAACAGTTATGAGCAGTTATGTCAAAAGACAGTAACAGTAACAGCACTTGGTCATATTCTTAACAAGAACTAGCAAAAACCCAAACCACACACAAAAAAATTCAACACTACAGGCTCTATGGCAACACTTCATGTCCAGGTCACTGTTTCATGTCACCTTTTAATAGTCTAGAACACTCAAGTCTAAGAAAAGAAAAAGTGCTTTGCAGAGGGATAACAGTGGCATAAAAAAAGGAGAAAAAATGAGTTCTCAATTCCTGTGATTAAATAGAGAATTCTTCTCCACCTTCACGTCTGACATAGTGAATACCATATATTTACAAGAAGCATCAAGAGTATCACCCTATTAAAGTCAATAATTCAAAAGCAAATAAGAGCTTTCATATGAATTTCTAAATGGAACACCTGTTTGTGTACAGAAATCAGGCCATTAAAATAATCATGTTACAGGCAAGAGCTCAAAATTCCACTTTGGAAATAAAGGAGCTACTAAAAGTGTACTCTATTTGTATTGTGGTGGCTCAGATTTACAGTTGTCATCAATCCCTATTTTCAGTTTGGAGTACTCTCCCTTAGAAAGCAAGCACCAAAGAAGTTTTCCTTAGAAGCAAGTACTGGTACCTTTTTATCTTGTTCTGCAGCCTTTAATTTATTATGAAGCCTATAATTTTCTTCTTCTAATGCTAGACTGGCAGAGCCACCAGGGGCCAGTTTTTTTTTCAGAGTGTTTAGATCCTGAAGCAACTCTTCATTTTTCTCTTTTCTCTGTTTTAATTCAACATCAGCATTTTTACTATAATCAGCAGTTCTGGCATCCAGCTCTGAAGAAAGTTCAAGGAGTATCTGAAAATCACACAGAATAATTTTAAATAATTTTTTAATCTGCTAGAAATATGGCAAGTGAAGAAACAGGAAGTACCTTAGCCTGTGTTATTTTCACATTCTTGTTTCAGTGCCCCATTTGACAGTGCTTGCTGTCAGAAATAGTATCATCATCACTCAAAGAACAGGTTCATTTACAGAAGAAAGGGAGGCAGGAAGGGGCACAAGAGAAGATGATAATGCAGAAATACTGGTAAACCTGCAATGCACTAACTCAAACTGTAATATTAGAGAAACAAAAGGAACTATATTGGGAAGACTTCTTGAAAGTCAGCCACAGAAAACCATAATTACTCACAGATTTTTCTTATTAGAACATATTTACTGACTAAAGGAAATTAAACCTACACATTGGACTATTCTAGAAACCCATGTGTTTAACATGCCAAATAAATAAAAACTTCACAATTGTCAGGAAATGACAATGTTTACTAGATTTTTTATTTGTTTGTTAAAAGCTTTGATCCACATAATATTAGGGTCACAGAATTCTTCCAAAAACTTGCTAACACTGCAAAATCCCAAAAATGTCAAGACTGACTATTGACTCTATAGGAGAAACTTTTAAAAATAAGCTAAACTTAAAATTTAATCAGAAAGTTGAAGTAGTGTCAAATCCTGTCCATGATGCACTAAACCCTGAAAAATGCTGTCTATATTTCCAAGAGGCAAGCAGTAAGCATAAGAAAGAAAGGAATGTAAATATAAATTTAACTGAGTTTCAAAAATGGCTATAGTAGTTTTGATAAAGTTTGGCAAGAAAAGCAACATTTTCTGGAATTCAGACTAATAAAACCCCAAATAAACAACCCTACTCCCATATATTATCTAGAAAGTCTTTTAGAAAGCAAGTTTTCAAGTTTAAAAATCTTGAAAAATCTTTTAAGTATTCCTGTGTCTTAAAGTATGAGTAAGTGCTGATAATAAATTAATGATCATTTAAGAACCTTTTTTGTCTTTTGTCCATCACAGGAAAGTGCTTACACAAAATACATTTCTGATTCTATAACATTTAATTTTACCTTTACTTTAGGAGTCCAGAATTTAAAGACTTGCAAGAGTCTTTCATTATCTTTCTTTAGTTCTTCTTTCAGTTCCTCTGCATCCCAGTGAGTTCCTGAACAAGCTTCCCAGAACTGTATTGTTTCTTTTCTAGCACTTTCTTCCTGCTGTAACTCTGCTTCTATGTAGAGAAGTTCATTTTCCATTTCTGATACATCTTTGACAATGCTCTTAAAAAAAAAAAAAAAAAGGGAATCAAAATTTAAGTACTGGTTTGATTATCACATGTCTAAATATACCTTCTGTCCTCTCAGCTATCAGTATAGCAGAAAGTCTGTTTTAGCATCTAAGTATCATATAAAAGGAGTTTTGCTAGACTTAAAATCACACCCTATTGGGAAAGCAAGAAGACAGTCTATGTTCCTGGGGCAGGTGGAAAGGGGGAAAAAAAAGTGCTTATTAGCAAAAGTTTATTCCATTGTTTTAGAACAAGTCATCTTGGTATTGGATGGTACACACTGTAAAGGGCAAATAAGTAAATAACATTCCCACTATTTTCTTAGCTATTAATTTTATTTTCAGCTGCTTTATGAAGCAAAAGCCTCTTATTATAGACCTGGCAGCATAAAAAACATAACTCTTCCTTCATCCCCTGCTTAAGAACAGTTTTAACAGATAAATCCACTGCCATTAGAATCCCACCACATAACCCCATGCCTTACAATGGGTTTTTATTTTCTATTTTTTTCCCCAAATATTACCTCTGCATCCAAGTGCAACCTCTGCAGCCCTTCACAGCTGTTTAACTCTTGTGATGATACTTCATTCTGCTTCAAATTCATCTTCCTGAGACATTGAATCTGGGATTGTAGGTGACCTTGTTTTCTCTTTTCCTCTAGCAATCCCATTTCATAATTGTGAACAGTAGTGTGGTACTCTCTTCTCTTTGTGCAAGCAGAGCTGAACAGAAGCTGTTGCAGAAACACAGGATGTATCAGCGAGCCTGTTTTAAAATGGTACCCTGCATCCAGCTAAAACACAGTATTTTATAACTTAATCTATTTACTCTCTGAGCCTCTAAATGTCCAGGATAACTAACACATGACTAAGAAAATCAGGTTCACAGGTGCATTATAGTAATGGCATGTAAAACTTTTAGCTGAGACAGCACTTTTCCAGTATGCTATTTTTTTGTAGCCCCCCAAAAAAGCCAAGAAGTCTAAAAGGCTCTAGACAGCCTTCCACAAATCTAAACCTTGAAAAACAAAGTAAAGGGTTCTTTGCTATATTTATTTTCTCTTGGAGTTGTGAAAGGTGCAGATGATCTATGAGAATATCATCACCGTGCTAATTTAAATCTTTATTCTAGCAGAGCTCGCTAGTTGAATCTTAAACATCTTTAACCATGAAAGTTAAAAGCCATCTGTGGAAAAACTTAAACCTAAAATGGCTGTGTTAATTTATAAAATGAGGCCCTTTGGAATATTAGTTCAGCTTCCAAGTTAATGGATATTTGTAGACATCACTGACTCTCAAGAACCTCACCCTCTCTCTCCAGGCCTGTGCATGTTTCCATGCTCCAACCGAAAAAAAAAAAACCAGGCCCTTAATATTTCATGGTAAATAAAGAGACAGAAAAAACTCTGCCATTCACTGTACTTCTGCATATGTTAACAGGAATTCTTTCCCAACTACCCTTAACCCTTTTTGCTAATAATTTTAGTACAATGGAGAAACTGATTCCAAACTGGGGAAGATCTTCAAGGCTGTAAAATCAAACTACCTGGGCAGTTTTGCAGAGTAAGCATGCATGCATCTCCAAGCCATCTTGCATGTCTCTTTCCCCCACAGAGAAATGCATACTTAGTCATCTATTATTTGATTTAGAGTACAAAAAGGAAATTTCATTTTCCAATTAAAATGAAATCATATTAATGAAATAATTCTGTGCAAAGCAGCTGAACTACAGTTAAAAACTAACTTTGATTTACACAACTAAGTAGTTCTAGTTTTCTAAGATTGTAAAGCAATTACTATCAACTCATTTTCTCCAATGTATGGATTCTCAAAACCCAAAGCTAAAGTATATAAAATCCTAGCTGTTACCATTGAGAGTTTATTTAAAAATACCCAAAACCAAGCAATATGAAGCATCAACATATTCAGCATTTTAAGTTGGTACCTTCAATTTGGTCAATAACTTCTGGAGACGAGTGTTGATTTCCTCATTTTTAGTTTGAAGTGTTTTGACTTGTTTACTCTGCTCCAGTGTAAGCTGAGGCAGTATCACAGCTATCAGTGCTTTCTGACTGTTCAGTTCACTCTTTAGTTTAAGAGACATTGTAGACAGACATTCATATCTCTTCCCCATACTTGGGAATTTCTCAAGAAGCTCCTAAACGAAAGTGAAACACATCAATTCATTCATAATAAGGAAAACTGTGATTAGCTATAAACATAAAATAAAATACCTCTCTACAGGACTAACCCCTACAGTATGTACCAGTTTTACAACGTGAAAAATTATTATGATTAAGACTTCAGTTTTGACTTGCCACAGGGATATGACAAAAACACTAATCCAGGCACAAACCCAGATAATTTCATAGATCTCCAGCAAGTAATTTGACAAGCTCAAACTGTCTTCTTTGTGGTTTAGATTGCCTGGCCACATCAAGACTTGTAAATCAGGCAGGAAAAAAAATCACTGCCTGTTTACAAGTTTGCCAGCTGGCCGTCTGTCAGGATGGACTCCCAGGTTTATCTGCTTCTCTTTTTGAAGGAAAGGGCTCATGAAGTGGGTCCTAGCACTCTGCCATGAAAAGAAAGGTGTGAACAAGCAGTGAGCAGGCTCAGTAGTGCTACAGGCTTGAAGACCCAGTAACCTGCAACTCCAGAATCATGTTTAATTATGTCTGTTATGCATTTTAAAGAAAGTATAAAACTCCCCTGACATACTCCCTCCATCACTGGTTCTTAGTTAAAAGAACCAAGATTCACCAGTTTTCTTAACTCTTCACCTCACAGTAAAAAAAATGGAACATTGGGAAGAGGCAGACAAAGTCCTATCTATTACAGAATTCAGAAGGGGAGAGTGCTCTTAAGAGGGATCAGCTGATGTTAACTTCCTTCGTTATGATTTAACTTTATAAGATGTGCTAGTATTTTGTTTTCTGTTGGATTGTGGTTAATAAAGAAAGTTCTATGTTGTTGTAGTAGGGTTTGAGCTCCGCTCTTTGTTTGCAGTTTGAAGGTTGTAAGCGTTTGTTTTGTTGAGTTGTAGTTGAGTTCTTCACTGTAATTTGATATTTTGGGTTTGCAGGGCTTTGTTGTTGGTTGTACTTTACTTTTTCATTGTAATTTTATTTCAATGTAATTAATTTAATTTTACTTCTTGTTGTTTGGACACCAGATGTGACGATGCAGAGCGACACAGAGACCTCAGGCAGTGCAAAGGAGAGCCTTTTACTGCAAAACCCAGGCCTTTTTAAACAGTTAGCTGATTATCAGTTTATGTAGTTTTAAGGCACAACAAGCCCAAGTCAACCAACCGCCATACACCACAATGTGGACATGCAGCAGTCATGCAGCTCATCTCTCATGTCTCTCTACCCCTATTGCAGCTGGGTCACTCTCCCATGGCTCCCTTCTACTTGGCTGAAGTAGCAGGCTGAGCCATGATTTTACAAGTGTAACGAGGCCCTTATTTTATAAGGCTTGACCTATATGCAACAATACACATGTATAAATCCTGGTTTATTTTGGCTTTCAGTAGGTTACTAGCTCTTCTCGTATTTCTGATAAAATATACTCATGACAGCTAACTAACAAAAGGTTTGAGGAATTCCTCGTTTGAGGGCAGAAGTGCTTGAATGGAAAGAATTTGACACCAATTGAGTATTTAATAGGGAGTAATGGAAGGGAGGATAGGGGGGATTTTACAAAACCAAAGTGGCCAAGTGCTTCTGTTTGAGGTTCAACAAGGGGAAGTGCCAGGTTGCAACACTCCTCATGCAGTGCTACAGGCTGGAGGAATAGTGTCTGGAAAGCTTCCCAGCAGGAAAGGGCCGGGGGGTACTGGTCAACAGCTGGCAGAAGATAAGCCAGCATGTGCCCCAGTGGCCAAGAAGACCAAGGGCATCCTGGCTCGTGTCAGGAATAGTATGGCCAGCAGGCCTAGGAAAGGGATCGGCACTAGCAAGGCCACACCTCAAATCCTGTGTTCACTTCTGGGCCCCTCAGTACGAAAAGAAGATTGTGGTGCTGGGGAGTGTCCAGAGGAAGGCAACGGAGCTAGGGAAGGGTCTAGAGCAGAAGTCCTGTGGTGTGGGTGAAGGAGTTGGGGGTGTTTTAGCCTGGAGAAAAGGAGACTGCGGGAAGACCATACCACTCTACAGCTGCCTGAAAGGAGGGTGTAGCCCTCTTGGAGGGGTTGCCCTCTTCTCTCCAGTAACATGTGATAAGTTGCACTAAGGGAGGTTTAGATTGGTTATTAGGAAAAATTTCTGAATTGAAAAGGCTGCCAAGTACTGGAACAGGCTGCCCAGGGATGTGGTGGAATCACCATCCCTGAAGCTACTTCAAAGATGTGTACAACTAGGGACACAGTTCAGCAGTGATCATGGCAATGCTGGCTTAATGGTTGAAATCTATAATCTAAGAGGTCTCTTCCAACCTAAATGATTCTGTGATCCTACATAACTAGTTATTTTCATTGGGGTGGCTGGACAGTAATGAAAGCAGGTGAGATATTCTGTGAACATTAAGTTAACGTGCAATCACTGAACAACAGAAAATGAACTGATCACATGGTATGCAGCATTTTAGCAAGATATGCAAACCATTTAATAGATAATGCACAAAAGGCTTATGCTTATGCATAACCTTATGCTTCATAACAAACGTCATTAAGTTTCTATGTGCATCCTTAAAACAAACAGAAAAATAAGCTTACCTTGATTTTCAAGGTTTTTTCTGTCAAGCTGTTATCGGCCACCTGCTCTGCAATATCCACTGGGTTTACCTGAATGGACATATTGTTCAGGTTTCTCTGCTTCAGCTGTTCTAAAGCATCTTCCAGTTTTGCCTTGGTTTCAACACACTAAAATAAAAACACATATTTAAGTACCAGTTGAGACATGAAGCTATGAATATCTCAGGTATGCAAACTGCAACACTCACCATCTCAGAATTTCTTTGCAACTCTGCCTTGAGCTGGTCCCGCTCAAACCTGACATCCTGAAGAAGTTTCTGTAGCTCATCTTTTTCACGATTCACTGATGAGATTTGTTCTTGAAGTTGTAAAGAGTGACTAGTACTTTCAGCTAATAACTGGTCCTTCTCACATGAGACACTATTTAGTGTCTCAGTTAACTGTTGAATCTACAATGAACAGCGGAGAAAAATCCAAATCACTATTTGGTGGTTGCGATCTTTATACATCCTATGAAGCAGTCAAATCACTTGTGTCAAATACAAAAAACACAATTCTTAGTTACTAAAATTCACACTAGCAGAAAGAAAAGTTTAAAAATAATTTTGGTGTTCTAATAACAGAAAAAAATTTACAAGGAAGAGGAACAGCATGACACCCAAAAAGTTTACATCAGTCAACTTGGTTTTCTGTAAAGCAAGTGGATTCAAAGGAAAAGGCAATCAACCTATGTCTATATCACAAGAAAATTAAAATAAATAGAAGATGAGCATTAAAAAAATGGACAATATCTTTATATTTCCTCTACTGGAGAGTAATATTCGCTAAATTGAAGCAATCCTCAATTATACTCTTTGATATACAAAGGAAAAATTTGACTGGTGAAAAGCTGCAAAGCAAACACTATGAAAAGCATGAGTTGGGCAGAACTGCATGAGCAGTTCTTAGCCAGAACTAAGTGCAAGACTTGCAAACATTGCCTGGTATTCAGAAAGTGTGCAAAGCACCAAGAAGTCAAAACCTAGTTAGGTTCATGCTGTCTACACAGTGCCATTTAAAAAGTTCGAAGACATATTCAATTACTGATTATTACAATGAAAATACACTCATACGATAAATTCACATTCCCTCCAAAGCTGGACCAATCCAATGGGTTACAAGGCTGAGATCAGTAGACAATGTTATTCACTAGACATCAATAAAGAAATGCAGAAAAAATCCTTTGCCCATATTCATGTTTGTTTACCAACCATAAAGCTAATCTGCTGAGAATAAAAATAAAAAAGTTGGTGCAAATACTTAGCATATAAGCAATAAAACATCAGAATACAAAATAGTGACTAAACACCAAAACTCCTCACCTTGCTTGTAAGGCTGTCTGCCAATGTCTCTGACTGCCTCTGAACCTTCAACAAGTGTTCTTCCCTTTCTTTACAAGTCTCTACCATTTGCTGAAGCTCATCCTTCTCCTTGTTAAGTGAAGTGATTCTCTCAAGCTGCTGACACACTTGCTCACTCATTGCCCTTTCGGTTTGTTGCTTTTCTGCCAGGAGGTCGCCATACTCAGCTGAGACACGAGTCAGGTTTTCAGTGACTTCAGTGAGCTGGAAAGAACAAATCCAAACCAGTAGTGGTATTTATAATCACCTCTGGCATGGGCAAAAATAATTTGATGCTTTGGAGACCAAACAACCAGTAACATAACAAGTTTCTATGTTTTCTTGTCCCAGCACTGAGGTTTGGATTGAAGAGTGTTGTTGGATCATCATTCAGAAGCACTGTCTGTACATATGGGTTGTTATAAATGGATTGCTTTAAGGAAAACATCCCCAGTGGTTTCCTGCTATAGTTAAGCCAAAAAAGATAAATTTTACTTAAAAGCCAATCAAATGTCAGTGCTACTGGCTCAGTGGAAGGCAAATGTAAAATGCGGAAAAACATGCAAGACATTCTACATCCATAGAAAATGCCTCAGTTTCTGTATCCACAGGAGACATGCCTATACAATAAAAAGAAGTCTAAAGTCCACAATGGCTTCAGACATGAAAACAAAAAGTAGAGAACAAATTTATAATAGTGTAGTGAAATCAAGAATGAGCTAAGCTCTCCTGAAGTTGCTCAAGGATCTTCAGTATTAGTTAAATTACATTATTGGAATGTATAAGACTTAAGCCTGGGAAAATGGAGAAGTTAAAGTGCATTGTTGATTCTAAATAATATTCAGTCATTCAGCATCAAGACTTATTTAGTTATAAATAAAGGGTTCCTTTAGTACGTCTACTGGAGCACTACAAAATGAAGTTTGCAGGAGACATGGGCTGCCAAACCCAGCAGAAACGGCAATTTTCTTGACAAAACTGCTTCTGACCTTCTGCTGCAGTACATCAGTTTTTCCTTCAATTCCCCTTGTGCCTTCTAGAGCAAAGCACCAAGGATTAGAAACCCAGTGAAGTTCATGCAGTCTACACAGTGCCTTTTTTAAAAATGGAAGATATGTTCACTGATTATTGTATGGAGTATGCACTCAACAGATAAATTTACATTGATTCCAAAGAAGGACCAATACAACAGGTTACAAGGCTGAGACAAGTTGAGCATGTTACTACTAATTATCAGTAAAGAAACTTGGACAAAATCCTTTGCCCATCAGAGGTTTCTTTGCCAGCTACAAAAATGATGCTCTGATTAAAATTTTTAATTAAATATTTTAATTAAAAATTAAATAGAATTTAAGTGGATCAAGAGTTTGGCACACCAGCGACAAAAATCAGAATACAAAATAGTGACTAAACACCAAAACTCCTCACCTTGCTTGTTAGGCTGTCCGCCAATGTCTCTGACTGCCTCTGAACCTTCAACAAGTGTTCTTCCCTTTCTTTACAAGTCTCTACCATTTGCTGAAGCTCATCCTTCTCCTTGTTAAGTGAAGTGATTCTCTCAAGCTGCTGACACACTTGCTCACTCATTGCCCTTTCGGTTTGTTGCTTTTCTGCCAGGAGGTCGCCATACTCAGCTGAGACACGAGTCAGGTTTTCAGTGACTTCAGTGAGCTGGAAAGAACAAATCCAAACCAGTAGTGGTATTTATAATCACCTCTGGCATGGGCAAAAATAATTTGATGCTTTGGAGACAAAACAACCAGTAACATTATAAGTTCCTTTGTTTTCTTGTCCCAGCACTGAGGTTTGGATTGAAGAGTGTTGTTGGATCATCATTCAGAAGCACTGTCTGTACATATGGGTTGTTATAAATGGATTGCTTTAAGGAAAACATCCCCAGTGGTTTCCTGCTATAGTTAAGCCAAAAAAGATAAATTTTACTTAAAAGCCAATCAAATGTCAGTGCTACTGGCTCAGTGGAAGGCAAATGTAAAATGCGGAAAAACATGCAAGACATTCTACATCCATAAAAAATGCCTCAGTTGCTGTATCATAGGAGACATCCCAATGTGCTAAAATGAAGCCTAAAATCCACACTGGCTTCAGACATGAAAAGAAAACACAGAAAACAAACTTATAATAGTGTAATAAACTAAAGAATGAGCTAAGCTGTCCTAAAGTTGCTCAAGGATCTTCAGTATTAGATAGCTAAATTACATTATTGGAATATATAAGACCTAAGCCTGGGAAAATGGAGAAGTTAAAGTGCATTGTTGATTCTAAATAATATTCAGTCATTCAGCATCAAGACTTATTTAGTTATAAATAAAGGGTTCCTTTAGTACGTCTACTGGAGCACTACAAAATGAAGTTTGCAGGAGACATGGGCTGCCAAACCCAGCAGAAACGGCAATTTTCTTGACAAAACTGCTTCTGACCTTCTGCTGCAGTACATCAGTTTTTCCTTCAATTCCCCTTGTGCCTTCTAGAGCAAAGCACCAAGGATTAGAAACCCAGTGAAGTTCATGCTGTCTATACAGTGCCTTTTTAAAAAATGGAAGATATGTTCACTGATTACTGTATTGAATATAGCCTCATCAGATAAATTTACATTGATTCCAAAGAAGGACCAATACAACAGGTTACAAAGAGAAAATACAACCAGTTATAAGTCCCTAAACTTTTTTGTCTCAGCACTGAGGTTTGGATTGAAGAGTGTTGTTGGATCATCATTCAGAAGCACTGTCTGTACATATGGGTTGTTATAAATGGATTGCTTTAAGGAAAACATCCCCAGTGGTTTCCTGCTATAGGAATTCAAAAAAGACATCATTCTGTTTAAAAGCCAATCAAATGTCAGCGCTACTGGCTCAGTGGAAGGCAGAAGTAAACTGTAGAAAAACAAGCAAGACATTTCATCAAAATGCCTCAGTTGCTGTATCCATAGGAGATAGGAGACATTCCTGTACCTTAAAATGAAGCCTAAAATCCACACTGGCTTCAGATGTGAAAACAAAATATAGAAAAGAAACTTATAATACTGTAATAAACTAAAAGAATGAGCTAAGCTCTCCTAAAGTTGCTCAAGGATCTTCAAAATTAGATAGTTAAACAACATTACTGAAATTTATAAAATTTAAGTCTGGGAAAAGAGAGAGAAGTTGAAGTCCAATGTTGATTCTAAATAATATTCATTCATTCATTAATTCAGCACCATGACATATTTAGTTATAAATAGTGGGTTTTATAGTACATCTACTGGAGCCTTTCAAAGTGAAGTTTGCAGTAGATGTGAACTAACAAACCCAGAGAAACTGCAATTTCCTTGACAAAACTGCTTCTGACCTTCTGCTGCAGTTCATCAGTTTTTTCCTTCAATTCCTCTTGCGCCCTCAAGAGCTGGTTTTCCTTCTCTGAAACACTTCCTGTCAGCTCCACAATCTTCTCCTGATGTTGTCCAAGAGATTCACAAGTACATCTCAACTCCTCCTGCATCTCTGCGTTCTTTGGACACAATTAAAGTACATTAACACCTGGACAACACTTGCAAAAGCTAAGACCCATCTACTAGAGCTTCTCCTAGGGAAAGAGAACTACTTTTATTACCTTGCTAATCATCTCCTGTAGCGTTTCTCTTAGCTGGTCTCTCTCATTCTGGAGATTTTCCAGTTGCATTTTGAAATCATCACCATCTCCTTCTGTCTGGGCACTGACTTCCTGGGAGTCATGTGGTTCTGGAATAACATCTGTTCTCTCCATTTTTGCAGATTCCCCTTGATATTCACTGGCCTTTGCTTCCTCCATTTCATGCAATTTCTGTTGTGCCTGGCTCAGCTCTTCTCGCAGAAGAAATAACTCTTGCTCCATAGATTGTCCTTGAATCTGTGGTACCTGTTTTGTAAGAGATTCAAATAAAGACATTCAGGAAGCAGCTTCAGGAAAAACTTGTCTGACACCTTTGACAGGTTGATTATGTACAACAAACAGCAACACCGCTTTAGACAGATTTGTACTTTTTTAGAGTATTAAAGTTTGACCAAAGTCCATATTCAATTTAAATTTCTTGAAATAAGAGTCATGAAAACACAGGTTGAAGCAAGAACTCCTAAAAGAAGTTATCAGAAATAGTATTTCACTGTCATAGTTTAAGCATAGAGGGGAATATTAGCAACAAAAAAGTCAACAACAAACCACTCCCATCTCAAAACTAGAGACCTTCTCTCTGTTTCTAGTCTCAGCAGTATAAAATGCTAGGTAGGTCTAGAAAATTATTTACTGGCAATTTATCCAAGGCCTCTTCAATATTAAAATAGATGCACATTCATTAATTTTCTTTTGAAGATCACATTTTATAAATACATATATATATATATATATATATAGAGACACACCCACACACAGAGGTACAATCAGCACATGCAGTTATAGAAAGTGTTGGTTGCTATGTTCCTTCCACTGGAAAATGAAAAGTTAGTTCTACAGTTCTACATAGACTTGAAAAAAGCAGAATTACCCTCTCCAGATCAGCAATTTTTACCTTTTGCTTACTTGATTATAAGAACTATATCCATGTGCAGATCAATGCAGAACATCACCAGCCTGTATCAAGTCAATATTTTACTCAGAGAAAAACATTTGCCACATTCTGGTACCAGATGCCCATTCATAAATATATGGGGTGTTATATCTCAAGTAAATAAATTCGCTCTTTAATCGTCTGCAGCTTTTGCAAATTATTTCACTCAAGCAAAAGTTTAAATAAGCAAGCTTCCCATTACAGTTTTTAGCATAATTACCAAAGTTCCTTCCCCAGACTCCTCTGTTTGCACAAGTAAACTGTCCAGCTTCTCCTGCAATGAACAGTTCTCTTGAGTAAGGAAAACGATTTGTTCCTTTTGCACCTGAAGCTGATCACTTTCTCTACAGCTATTAGTTCCTGATTTTTCCTCAGCAAGCTGATCTCTCTCTGAAGTGATGATTTTCATTTCTTCTGTCATTTCTGAGATCTGTTAAAAATATGCAAAGACAGCATTTTCATTAATCCAGTATAAAATTAAAATGCCATATTTTGTTTGATTCACTCGTCTACAATGTTCTTAATATCAAACCAGAACAACCAAAGTAGAACAACCTTCAAACCAAACCAGTTATTCAGAGAGCAAGAAAAGCACCAAGGATTTGAAACCCAGTTAAGTTCATGCAGTCTACACAGTGCCTTTTTAAAAGTTGAAAGACAGGGTCAATCACTGATTGCTGTATTGAATATGTACACATCAGATAAATTGACATTCATTCCAAAGAAGGACCAATGCAATGGGTTACAAGGCTAAGACAAGTTGAGCATGTTACTACTAAATATCAGTAAAGAAACTTGGACAAAATGCTACTGGCTCAGTGGAAGGCAAACGTAAAAAAAGGAAAAACATGCAAGACATTCTAAATCCATAAAAAATGCCTCAGTTGCTGTATCCATAGTAGATAGGAGACATTCCTATACATTAAAATCCAGCCTACCATCCACAGTGGCTTCAGACAAGAAAACAACAAGTAGAGAACAAATTTATTAATAGTGTAATGAATTAAAGAATGAGCTAAGTTCTCCTAAATTCGCTCAAGGATCTTCAAAATTATATTGTCAGAATACATAAAATTTTACAACTGGGCAAATGTGCAGAAGTCAAATCGCATTTTTGATTCTAAATAATATTCATTAAGCACCATGACATATTTAGTTATAAATAGTGGGTTTCTTTAGTACATCTACTGGAGCTCTACAAAGCAAAGTTTGCAGTAGACGTGAACTAACAAACCCAGAGAAACTGCAATTTCCTTGACAAAACTGCTTCTGACCTTCTGCTGCAGTTCATCAGTTTTTTCCTTCAATTCCTCTTGCGCCCTCAAGAGCTGGTTTTCCTTCTCTGAAATACTTCCTGTCAGCTCCACAATCTTCTCCTGATGTTGTCCAAGAGATTCACAAGTACATCTCAACTCCTCCTGCATCTCTGCGTTCTTTGGACACAATTAAAGTACATTAACACCTGGACAACACTTGCAAAAGCTAAGACCCATCTACTAGAGCTTCTCCTAGGGAAAGAGAACTACTTTTATTACCTTGCTAATCATCTCCTGTAGCGTTTCTCTTAGCTGGTCTCTCTCATTCCGGAGATTTTCCAGTTGCATTTTGAAATCATCACCATCTCCTTCTGTCTGGGCACTGACTTCCTGGGAGTCATGTGGTTCTGGAATAACATCTGTTCTCTCCATTTTTGCAGATTCCCCTTGATATTCACTGGCCTTTGCTTCCTCCATTTCATGCAATTTCTGTTGTGCCTGGCTCAGCTCTTCTCGCAGAAGAAATAACTCTTGCTCCATAGATTGTCCTTGAATCTGTGGTACCTGTTTTGTAAGAGATTCAAATAAAGACATTCAGGAAGCAGCTTCAGGAAAAACTTGTCTGACACCTTTGACAAGTTGATTATGTACAACAATTGGAGGTACTGCTATAAAAGCACACACAGAGAAGTGTAGCCAGCATATCCAATTACAAGAAGTGTGGTTTGCAATGCCCCTTGCAGTGCCCGGAAAAAGTCAGTTCTACCTATGTTCTAGAAGAGCCAAACCACCCATTTCAGATCAGGCATTTTTATAGTCATCTGCCTAATTATAGAACATTCCTGTGCAGATTAGTACACATCATTACTATCCTGTATCATGTTATTACTCTATTTATAGTCATTCTCCCAGTAGATGTCCATATATATATATGTATTTATTTATATAAATAATATGGGTGGCCTCTATCTCAAGCAAACCATTATCAACTTGGAGCTTAATGAGGTACAGTCAAGTACCACGACCCTTTTCTTTCAGTGTGTTTTGCAATTATTTCACTTAAGTACAAGTTTAAATAAGCAAGCTTCCCATTACAGCTTCAGCATAATTACCAAAGTTCCTTCCCCAGACTCCTCTGTTTGCACAAGTAAACTGTCCAGCTTCTCCTGCAATGAACAGTTCTCTTGAGTAAGGAAAACGATTTGTTCCTTTTGCACCTGAAGCTGATCATTTTCTCTACAGCTATTAGTTCCTGATTTTTCCTCAGCAAGCTGATCTCTCTCTGAAGTGATGATTTTCATTTCTTCTGTCATTTCTGAGATCTGTTAAAAAATATGCAAAGACAGCATTTTCATTAATCCAGTATAAAATTAAAATGCCATATTTTGTTTGATTCATTCTCCTACAGTGCTTATAACAGGCATCTGTGATATATTGGGATCTGACATGCCATTGACAATCATGTGTTACACTTCTCTGGGACTGTTATAAATCATGATATTTCTATTTTAAATATAAATCAGCCTCATTTCTACACTTAAGTAACCCTCATCTCCTTTTCCATTTTCCATCCAATGCCACCACTCAAATCCACAACCATGGGGCACACAAGTTAAGCAAAGGTTCATTCCACTCTAGATTACATCTTGAAGCTCTACAGAAATAGCAGCAGCTGGTCAAGACTTGGATTAGACAGTACTCTTTTCCTGCCCACTTGCCATCAAGAGCCTAGAAAATTTTTAAGGACATGCAGAATAGATTACAAGCAGATTAACTGGGCTTGTTTTAATTATTGCATAAGGTTTTACCCGTATTTGGAGTTCTTTAATGGTTTTCCCTAGTGCCTCTTCAACACTCAAAATCTGAGATTCTTTTTCAGAAATACTTTTTTCCAACTTCTTGACAGTTTTCTGGGATTCCTTCAGAGAGTTTTGTGTATTTCTCAGATCTTCATGTGACATGATGTTCTTTAGAATACAAGAGAGAAAATCCACAAAGAAAACATGTATTTTGTAATATTAGTAAGCATTCCTTAATTAAAAACAACCACACAAACTTCTATTCCTATATTCTCTGAAATATTTTAATACTGTTTATAAGTCTTCCTCCTACCATTGAAACCGTGTCCTTTATATCCTCTCTGAGTTGCTCTGTCTCAGCTTGAAGAAACTCCCCTTTTTGCTTCAGGTCATCTCTTTCCTGGGTTAGAGTTTTTATTTCTTCCCGACATTCTGTAAGCTGCTGCAAGATTGCCTGGACCTCCAAATCTTTGGCCTCCAGTCTCACTTCACTAAGCCTTTCTTCCTCCTCTTTTAATTGCTCCAGTTCATTTAACTTCTGCTGAGTCTGAACAAGATTTTCTCTTAGCTCAAGGAGTTGATTTTGCTCTGCTTCTCTCTCTTCCAGTTCTTTCATTTTGCTAGAGAGCTTTAGTTTGCAAAGGAAAAGGACAGACACTGTCATTGTAATGCAGATCTCCATTATATATACATGTTCTCACAGATTCTTTTATGAGCTTAGAAAGGAAGAAAGATGCTAGCAAGCAAGGTCATAATTTCTCTGTAAGTCACTGCTTATACTCTTGCCCACAATAAATAAGCATTTATAACCTTCCTGTGATGGTTCCTTAGCAGAGAAAGTCTTACTAAAACATACACATCAAACTGTTTTTCAAGTCTCATATGTAAAAAGGAGCAAGCTGACACTGACCTCTAATTTCACTTCATCCAAAACTGTTTTAGACTCTTGTGCTTCTTTAGACAGGCATTCTATTTGGAGCTTCATTTGTTCATTGGTTTCTGTTGCAGCTCTGTATTTTTGTTCTATTTCTTCATGGAGCTGTTTAAGTGCTACATATTCCTCATCAGACTTTGCGTATTTCAGTTGTACATCTGTGAGATTGTCTTTTGATTTCTCAATTTCTTCTGACATATGCTTAAGTCTCATTTCATTATCAGCTACTTCAGAAAGCAGCTTTTCATTTTCCAATTTTAATAAGCTTAACTCCTCACATTTTTCAAGAATCTGCCAGCAGAAAAACAATATTACTATATAGTGCTTTCTAAATCAGTATTTGTCAGAACTATATAATAAACAGGTACGTGTGAAGATATAGGAGATGAAGCAGAGGCAAACATACACAATACATTGAGTTTTGCTCTGTTGGGAGGGAACTGTCTAGCAAAGCATCTTTAAAAGACAAGGATTCTCAAGTCCCAAAATCTCTTCTAACTCTTTAGATGTTCTTCAGTACTTCCTACTTCCTATGCTTGAACTAAGACTGGACTCCTAAACTGAATTTTTACATTTATCAATACTTTCTTCATAACACTGATCCCTTGGACTGTCTTCCTAGACCAGAGGTAAGACAGAGTTAGAGAATAAAGTAGGTATTTATTAAAGGCCTTCAAAGGATACGCCGTGGGCAGTGCAAAAGCCTGCCAGAGACTACACCCAAGACTGACAACAGTCACATGTTTTCTCAGACACATAAAAGCTTGGTCTCTTTGCATATTAGAGGTTAATTGTCCAACTATAGCTTCAGGTAAAAGTCACAGTCCCCCAGTTTGCTTCCTCCCCGCCCCCCCCCCCCCCCCCCCCCCCCTTTGCATATTAGAGGTTAATTGTCCAGCTATAGCTTCAGGTAAAAAGGTAAAAGTCACAGTCCCCCAGTTTGCTTCCCCCCCCCCCCACCCCTCCTCCCCCTCCTTGCTGTTCACAGGGCCTGAGGCAAATGGTGTGACCTTGGTTCCTAGGCCCAGGAGGACTACTCAGTCCAAACAAAATGTGAAGAAAGCTAACTAGTATTTCATATGGAGTTCAGAGTTATGCACTAATGCATTACAGAATCTGAAAAATATGGAAGCTAAAAACTTAAGGCATCAACACAGAGATGAAGTTGTTAATATCTAATTACATTTTGTTGATTAGTGGAAGTAAACCCTTGGAGAAACTTTTTGCGAAGCATTAATGAGTTTGTAGATTACTTGCCCTGAATAATTTTTACTGCACATACTTAGTAGCAAATGGTTCTTAGAACAAAGAAAGCTAGCAACTATTTGCAAACAAACCCTTTAAAACATTTACAGCATACCTGGTCTACTAATCCCTTACCTACTAGGAAATAAAGTTTCCTAACAAGTTTTCCAGAATTTGCAAGGTAAATCTCTAACTTCTCAAGCAGAATTTCTGCTAAGAGATCTTGAGATTTTCTCTGTGCTCAGTTACACAAAAAAGTCACTTCTAAAGTAGTGCCCAGGATCAAACCCCATTATATTTATACATTCAGTAGTCAGTGGTGACCACAGCAAATAGACATGCAAAGGCTGGACTAGAAAACAACACAATTATAGTAGTCAGTGACTAAACATATTAAACTAAACAAACTTATTCCTAGGTACAAATATTAAATATCTGAGAAGCAACAATTTAACAAACTTAACTGTAAAATTTCAGGTTGACTCATTTAAAAGCCTTTAAATTGGCCTTTAAAGCTTCATATCCAATAGGCCTCCATTAGTACATTACCAGTGAAGTACAATACAAAACCAAGAAAAAAGGTTAGATTTTTTTTTTTACCTCTTTCTTTTGCATTTCAACAGTATTTGGTAGAGATTGAAATTCTGATAGCTCATTTACTTGTTTCTGTAGAAGTGCATTCTCTTTCAAAGCATTTTCTAGTTCTCCTTTTAAGTCAGCTGCCTTTTTTTCCAGCTCCACCTGAGAAAGCAAATCTAGAAAATGAAGTTTAAACTATTTAGCAAATGTTAAAAAACATATTGTAAATTAAGCAGAAGATTTATTATGCATTCTGGATGTCATATTTTCGTAATTCCTGAAAAGTACATTTTACTGTTGCCAACAATTAAAAGACTAAGCTCCTGGTGTGAATTCTGTCAGCACTGCTTAGGTTGATATCCAGTTTATTTTAGGTTCTCTCCAACAATCTTAATCCACTTGACTGTGCAAAACGCAAAATATTTTGCTAGCTGCAATTTTCCAGAACGTTCAAGGAAGTGCTCAAGTAGTTACTCCATGCCAGCAATACCAGATACTCTGGTTGCTTTATACTGACCAGAGTCTCCATATATTGAGGAAGACAAGAGCCAAAGCCTTGGCTATCCTCCCACCATTACAGGGAAAAGGGAGGAGAGAAGGAGCAGGGAAAAGGCACCAGCTGGAACAGTACCTTTTGGAACTTTACCCTCCATCAGTGAAGTTAGTCTTGTGTTTTCTTGAAATAAAGACTGCAGCTCTCTCTGCAAGTCAGCTTGCATTTGCCGGTAACTGGCTTTTCCCACTTCTATTTGGCTTTGATATAACTGGACATCCTTTTGCATTTGCTTGTGGTTATTTAAGAGTTCATTCTTCAGGAAAACAAAACAACATACAACACACACAGAGTAAAAGTCTATGTACTTGACATTTAAATAATGCATCTGGTACATTTTCTGTTGTCACTCTGACCAGCTTTGACCTTGATAAATATGGCAGAATAAGGCACAACTTAACAACTGTATTCCTGTCAGTCCTCTAACAAAACATGCCTTATAGTTCAGGGCCATAACTGCTACTACTATTTTGTCTTTATTCTTTGAAATCTCAAAGTAAGCTCCATCCCACTTCTGAGTCCACATCTCATTCTCCTTTGTTCTCTGACGAAATTAGGTCTGAAGTCTTATGTCCCAGTAATGCACTAGACTGCTTCTTTGATCTCTTTCTCTCCCTCCTGGTAAACCTAAACACCCACTCCTACGGAAAAAGCCTTGACTTTCGTTCTCTCTCTTTCCTGAGGACCCATTTTCTACAAATTGCATAATAAAAGTATTACTTAAGAGTATTTGGAGAAAGCTAATGACAAGTGTTCCACCACACTGATGGCCTTCTTCACAAGCCTGGAAGCAGACAGGCCCTTTTTAGCATTAGGTGCAGCTATAAATGCAGTTCAACAAGTACTTGCCATCTTCTCCTTCAGCTCCAGATTTTCACTTCTGAGAAAAGCAGATTCCTTTTTGGCATCCAAGGCTATGGCTTCACTGTCTAAGAGGGACTTATTCAGCTGCTGAATTTCTTCAGTTAGTTTATCACAATCTCCCTGAAAAAGACAACACTCAAAGAAGCAAAAAACAATAATAAAGTAAATGTGTTCATTTTAATGTGTTTAAAATCTAAGTGCAGGCTTAGAAAGCACACGAAGTTTACTTTAAGAGGAAGAGTAGCAGGTTGTTTGAGAGATGGGATAAACAGCACAATTTCTCATAGCTTCACTTCCCGAGATACTTGCTGTATATGTAGTAATTAACACTTTAAACTTTGTAAAACAAAATTTCCCAAGACCTGTAGGGCAGCAGATGTTAATCATACCAAGGCTATACCTAAATTTAATCCAACTCAGAAAAACAAAGTAATCTCTCAACCCAGTAGAAAACTCAAGTTTACCAGTGCAAAAGATGTCTCTTTTCTTTCTACTTCTGCTTTTTGTAGTTCTTCCACACGATTCTGTAATATTTTTATTTTGTTCTCTTTCTCTTTCAGCTGTTCCAGTTTGGAATTTATTTCTGCCTAAAAGTTGGAGGGGAAAAAGGGGGAAAGAAGATTTGAGTGTTCAGTTTGGTTTTTCAGGTCAGAATTTATCAAAACTTACACAGAAAGCATTCATGGTTCTGGTTCTTAGACATAGCCTCGTCATAGCTGATAAGATTAACCTGAGCACAATGATGTCCAGTTATTGTCCTCAGCAGATATGGTATTTGAAGCTAAACAAACCAAGCACATTTCATACAAGACTTACTACCTGTAAAATCATTGAGAGGCTCACCTCAAGTTCCTCATTGTACACTTCAGCATTTGAAATTAGATTCTTTAAGTTGGTAATTTCATGCATTAGTTGAATCTGTGGAGCAAATTAAAGCAAAATTGCAGAGGATGTTAGAAAGCACCCACACCAGTAGTTTTAGTTGCCAACTCCATGAAAACAAGCCAGGTCTATCTTGTGTTTTCTTTTTTATTAGTATATACTCACACATTTACTTAAACTGCTACAAAGCAAGATGCTAGATATTCATTCAAAATGGACACGTGAGATGCAAAGCTCTGTTTTAGCTCCCCAGTAATTAAGAAGGATTCAAATACAATTTAATCTGCAATAGTTTGACAAGCAAGAGCAATGTGATCAAAGCAATTAATGCAGAAATTGTACAGATACGATACTTCAAATTCCAGTCATGTTTAGCAGCTTTTTATGACACAGTGCAGATATTTATGATTTAATCTATTCACTGACAGGAATGAGAAGGTGCCAAAATGGAAGTAAAACAAGCCATGAACACATTCAGCGGCATTGTCTGAAAGAAGTCACAAGTAGAAGACCAGATAGGAGCTTTTTCCTTTTCTTTCTCTTGGTCTTCGTTAGAAAAGTTTTACAATAAGCATTCATCTGCAAGTACTTATGTATAGTCACAAGCAAAGGTAAGAAAATGCAATCTGAAAATTTAATATTAGTGAAAAGCTTTAAAACAAGCACCATCCTGTGAGTATTCCTATGTAGTTTACCTGTATAAACTGATATATTTAATCTAATTTATTTGGTGAAGCATGTGACCTTTCAGTATTGCTCTAAGTAATCTACTGCATGGGTATCAATAAATGCTTACATTTTATGGACTGCCTTCAGATATCTAAAAACAAATAATTCAAAAAGCAATTCTTGCAATGGAAGCTACTTTAGAAATTACATCTGTTATTAGATACCCAAAAACTTTGCAGGGAAAACTAACATAGGATTTATTAAACATTAGCTAAGGAAGATAGCACATTCAGTCTAGCACACAAAGGGTCTTCTAAAAAGAATATTAAATACAAGCTAAATGGTAATATTTTAGAGAGCAAATTTCCTTAAGATCCATAAATCATTGTACGGAACACAATGCAAATAAGCAGTGACATAGTTAAATTGTCACCTGAAATAAAAACGCAAAAGGATGTAAAAAACTTCAACATTAGTGTCATGATCAGAAGATATTACACAGACTAATGTGCACAAGTAATGTCCAGAAAAGCTATCAGGAAAGAAATGGAACATACATCCCTGTCTCAAGACCTCAATTTACTGGTCTTTTTTGGGGTTCTTTTTGCTATAACTTATTTCACAGCCATAACTTATTACCAGCCTTTAGGCAGGTAGAACCTAATACAAGTAGTAAGTAATTTAGACTACAGAATCAGAGCATAAACTTTTGGATAAACAAGGAACATCTCCAGTAACCAGACAAAGAGTGAAGAGTACTGAAAGTCAGCATTTCCTATATTCCAAGTTATCCAGTAGATAACTTCACATTTTTGTGACTTCCTGGCACAAAATACAATATTTTAATTTTACTATTACTATTCTTACTATTATTTTAAAATAATCTCATGACTAAGCTAAATAATATGTTAAAAATTAATGCTCATGTAGTTCACGGGTTACCAAAATGAGCTATCTTGGAATTTAAGACAAGATGTTTCACACAAGAAATACAGGAAATATGATTTAGCAACCATACTTGAACTTCAAAACAGTTCTAAAATGTATTTAAGCAGCAAAACAACTGCCACACTGAAGTCTAGAGTGAAATTCAGATCACAGATTTATAAAAATAACATATCAATACATATATACACAAATACATATTTAACCAGGCTTCAGTATGTAACTCTCCAAAAATTTGTCTGAATTTTACACTCCGAGTAAATCCAGTTTAAATCCTGGGTTCATTCATTCTGTTGCTGAAAGTACTCATAACACCATCTGTTTGTGAATCAACATTCAAGGCTATGTAGACTGAATAAACTCCAGAAAGTATTTGAGCATAGAGAATTTATTCATTTCAATCCAGCATACCTCATGATCTTTTTGTGTTTGCTTTTCCAGTGCTTCAAATTCATCTATTTCTGTTTTTTCCTTCAGTCTCTCTTTCAGTTCATTTATTTCTGATTTCAACTGCTCATTTTCCAGCACTAGGTTATCAAAGTTAGCTTGCAGGACGTTGACCTCATTTACAGCAATATCCTGAAGAAGTAGCACAAGAAACTTTAGAACTGTTGCTGCAATGTCAGCCTTATTTCTAGAAAATTCAGAATAGACCTACCTTTTCTAGTGCTAATGCTTCACAGAGTTGCACAGATTCTTCAAAGTCTTTCTGGGTCTAGAAAAAGAAACACTCTCAGTTAGCAGATCTACAACATCGAGCAAGTGGAGTATTATATTCCTTGTTGCTTGTCTTTTCACACAGCTAATCTTGTTTAAAGACCAAAGTTGACTGAATCATTTGTACAAACCCACAGAAGCACAGAACCATACCACAGCTTCACAGAGGTGTCCAAGAGACTTTCTAACCAGTTTTAATAATTCTACAGACACAGAACACTGGTGTTCTACAGAAGAGTAAGGCTGATCTTACTGAGAAGCATATTATGCATATGTGCAGTATCAGAAAGCCAAAACAGATTATGATGTTACCCAATTCATGCTGGGACCAGCAATCCATTCTGCTTCTGAAATTTGATCAGGAACCATCAGGCAATGGCTGTCATACCCAGAATTCTCTAAGGTAGCTGAAAAGAAAGGTGTATTAACACAAGTACCAATAGATTTTAAACTGAGCATCAAAAATTCTCTCATAAAATAATTTTACCACATTAGAAACACTCATTCAATGGCAAAAACACAGCACACTGAATAAGACTTCTGACTCTCATGATTTTGTTATGAAAGAGAACACCACTGAAGTCCAATCCCTATAGTTATGTTGACCATCTTATCACAAGTTTATGAAGCCTAAATGAAATGCAGAATATATGCTTAAGTACAGACTAGGAGAAGTTTGAGTGTCAAGGAAAGAACCACTCAACAGTAACCTGCAAGACGTAAGGGAAAAAAAAGGACCCACCCACATACAGAAAAAAAAAAACCCCAGAATAATCCACTTACAAGCAAATATATGTTTGACAGGAGAGGTAATAAGGATATAAGATGTAATTCAGCAACAATACTTGCTAAATTGTCCTCTTCAGTTCAATTTCCTTAGAAAATTTCTTTTCCTACTTGCAGTTCACTCCTTATGAATCCTTGAATTTCTCTATCTCAATCTTATCTTTCAGTAATGACTTCCTATTCTTTTTGAGGAATTGGGGATTTTACACACACACCTCTGCATTTTTTGGGGAAAGAATGTGGGTTGATACGGACAGTCTGTGTTAAAGAACACTTTCCCAAAAAACTAGGGGGTGTGGGTAGGCTGCATGGCAAGTGTTCATAGAACCTGCCATTTACCTCACAGCTCTCCCCTTTGGTTCAAAGAATTGAAAGCTCAATATCAAGGGAAGGTGGGGTAGTAGAGGACTTTTCATTGAAAAGTGTGAACATCAACCCTTGGAGTCTTGTTAATGTGTTTTTTAATTTGTGCTATCAAAGGATCCACTTATTCCCTTTGGGAAATGTAAAGCAATGCTTGCCAAGTTATTTACTGGGAATTTCACAGAAAATGAAATAGAACGGTCTGGGTTGGAAAGGACCTCAAAGACCATCTAGTTACTTACAATCCTCCACATCTGGTACCGCTGGCAGAGACAACTTCATTTTTTTTGTTTCAGTCGGCATTGCATTTTCAAAGTCTTCAAAAAAGCTCACATTTGCCTGGTTTATTTTACCAGGAGCCCAAGTAACTCTTCTTCTTCTCTTGGCCTTGAAAAAAGTATTTATAGAAAAAGTGATAAAACCAAACCACTAGGCAGAGAGTAAATGTTGCCTCAAGCTAGTTCTGTATCAGTACCTGTATCCCCAGTTAACTTGACAGTATCTTGCAGTTTCCTCAAAATTAGTTGGAAAGCAAAAAAGTCCCTGCAGTCTGTTCACCACAAGGCAACACTGAACTGACAGCAGTTAATTTAAAAGTTAGCCCTTTAAAAATATGAAAAAAAGAATGAAAATTGCCCATCATACTTACTCTTCATTATCAATATAAACCTATGTATGTAGTGTTACCTTTTGCAAAGCATTTCAGAGTAATCAGGTAAGATCTGAACAGGTGCTTACTTTAACATTCTGTTTTGAGGCAAAGGAAGCAGAAGTCACCAGCATCTCAGTTAAGTTTCGTATCCTGTCCTCCTGTACTTTTTGAAGGGAATTTTTTTCTTCCAACAGCTGGGCCAGTTGATCCTTTTCCATTGCATGAATCTGAGTTTTTGAAGACACCTTCCAAGAAGAGAATGGTAATCACACTGACATCTTAAGAGCAGAAACCACTCCTACAGAAGATACACAATTACTGATACTTAAAAAAACCAGCTACACACATATACTCCTTTAAGTCTGGAAGAGAAATCTTTAATCCTTAAGAAAGAAACTGACAGTTTAGTCTACATTTTGACTGCAGACTTAGTATTTAAAGTGGTCAAAACTCCCAGAAACAGTACAGTCCCAGATTTTTCTATGTATAAAAAGATCATTCTTCCAAATACAACTCACTACCTGCTATCACAGAAGATACGAAACATACTCCCAAGTTCACGTTGCAAATTCATTATCATTAAAAAGAAGAAATCATTTTTCTAAAAATTCTCTAATGATATTTATAATTGGCAATAAAAAAATGTGCATTCTTTGATTTAATGCACTAGAACAATAAGTTCAGCATTGTTATTTTCCTGTGCTTTACATTTTGTTATCTGTGGTCTAACAAGACGTGCAAGATTCTTCCACACCTCCAGAGATTTTTAGAGAAGGAAAAACATCAGACCACATTGTTTGGTGAGAAGTTACTACTGTTCATTTTCTGAATGCAACTTCCACCTATAGATGACCAAAATTTTGCCAGTGATATTCATGCAGTTGCAGCTTCATGCAACTCAAACTGAAGTTAGACATCAATAAGGGAGGAAATAATATGAAGTTGGGATCTTTATGAGTCATTCAATCACTTCTTAGATTAATTTTTTATATAATTTGTTTTGATCATTACTTATATGATTTGTTATGATTTTTTGGGATCAGTTTAAGTATGCTATAAGGCATCACAAATTTCTATTTCTTAATTATGTTAACCTACTAATTAATCTCATTCAACCTTAGCCTGCACACAGAGATGCTATCATTAGTTGTTCTAGACTATTCATCTCCTATTCAATTTATATTCTCTCAAAGAAAATGGCAAATACCACTTCAAAGAATTCAGCTACCCATCCAAATTTAACTGCTTTTGGTTTAAAACAGCTGGTCTGCAAATAGCTATCAGTACTAAGGATTGATTTATTTGAGTTTATTACATACTTCCTCCAGCTGCTTTTTCAAATCCAGAATTTCTTTGCGGTATCTCTTCAGGAGGGCATCATCATCAAGAACTTCATTGACTTTCGGTGTATTCTTCATTCCTTTGGCTGTATTGGCAAACTGGAAGAATAGTCTTTCATGGGTAATAGTTGAAGAACAAATATCTAAAAAGACTTATTTTGTCCCATATTTCCCAAGAGAATTAAAGGGAGAGTTTATTAGATAAAAAACAACATATAATAGGACACAAATATTTGAATTAGCTTATTTTTAATGTATTCTAAGCTTGGAAAAGGTGAAGTTTTCCTTTCTTGATATTAATACCTAAAACATGAAGCATAACATTTAAGTAAGAGTATCCCAAGTTATCTTTTGTGTAATAAAAACTCAAAAGATCATCAAGGGAGACAATCCTACCTAAAGAATATATACTGTTCATTAACAGTTCAATTCCTGTAATGCCTAACATCTTGTGCTAGGCAAAGACTTCTCTAACTAGGTTTGGAAAAGGCAAATGATGTAAGAGTGGTTATTTCCCGCCTGCAAAGTGAGAGGAGCTTTGTTCCAACTTCCAAAAAGCTCTAGGTAGACAACCGAGCACTAGATGACTGGGAAAAGATGCTGTGTACAAAAAAATGTTTCCAATTCTGAGTTTACAGAAGCCCTTCAGAAGATTCAAGTCATTAAAGATCCAGTAGATTACATTTTCACCCCTCAAACCTGTCTACAATAACTAGTGCTGGAGAAGAGGTGAGAAGCTTTACCTGAAGAGTGCTGAGTGTCTCATCAAAAGAAACAGGAGTAATTGTACAAATAATAACTGTTTTAGCATTTCCTCCAAGGGAGTTCTGCAGAATTCGAGTCAGCTTGCTGTCTCTGTAATTTATGAAGCTAATAAAAAAGAAGCAACAACAAGAAAAAATGTCAGATTTCTGCATTAACATGGTAAATACGTTTTCTAGAGGTAATAGGTTATGTGAAACAGCTACCTACATAAGATTATAAAGAAAGGATTTTAATTTCTTAGTTTAGCAGTGCCTTATCTTATAACAGGTATACAAATAGTTGCTTACCCAGAAGGGTCATCACAAAGTTTTTTGATAACTTGACCCAGAATAAACAAGCTCCGATTTATATTGCAGCCTTCTTTCAGTCGAACACCTAGGTACCACACATTTTATTGTTATTATTTTTAATTTAAAACAATATTAAGATACTTTTTCAACCTGTCAAGCTTTTGTGTTATGTTATGCTCAGTCAAGAGGGATTTATTAACCAAGAGTTAAACCTTAAGTGCCACAATGCACTACTGACCCATCAGCAGGCAGTACTCAATCCTTTATGACAGTCAAAATGTTTTGAAATAAAACAGTAGTCAAAAATAGACATTTAGAACATTTACATAGAAAGCATCTGAGGCCATAAGAACTAGAATTTTGCTTCCTGTTTAAATTTTGCAAATGCCCACATTTACACATATATCAAACCTGTCTTAGATACAAGTTTTAAGTTAGTCACTCTTTGTAAGACTATTTCTTTTGTCCCTCTCAGATCACTTTTTTTGGACAAAGGCACTTTTGTGCAGCTTCATGCTGTCACTGTTAACAGCTAAGCTTCCTCTGAACTAAAGAGTGAGCCATCTATTCCCTCTTCACCTTGACACACAAGTCCCTAAAAAGCTTCTTTTGATTTTGTTATTACAGGTGCATCTTTCACAGAGTCATCTCCATTGTATTAGCTCAGTGCAGGATTTTTGCTGGGCCTGCAATTCTATAAAAGGCATATTACTACTTAATTGTTTGCACTTCACAGCATTTACAGTATTTTCCTGACTAGATCCTGTCCTACAAAGGGGAAAAGACCTTATTTATAAACAGTAAATAACACAATAGCACATGGATCAAATAATTTCCTATCACAGTTTCTCATAGGGGTTAATTAACAGAAGTTATTGTCAGTGGAGCCTCATTTGACACTCACCTTCAGCTCCTGTTTGACTAGCTCTTTCACTGCCTGCCAGATCTACCAAGTTCTGAAAATGCATTAAATATTTCACAGGTTACTTCTGAGGCAATTTACTTTAAGTCCTTGTAATTCTAAATCTCTGCTAAGAATTTAATAAACTAAAGCTTAAATAAAAAAGAAAAAAGTAAAGGGTCTATCATTACTGGAATTAATGCATAGCTAGCACACACAATACTTTCAAAGGTACATAAGGGAATGGAGTAAGTTTATATGAACTCTATTATTCCACCCCAAACAGTGTTTCAAAATCGCAGTGCAACAACCTCTACTCTCGGTCACAAAAAGATAACAGTTTCTCAATACAGAAGTGCTAACTACTAACCCAGCTGTAGGAATCTTTCATGGGAAAGAGGCTAGGTGAGATGATCTAGTAACCTGTCCTAAGCTGGCTGTATGTCTCTCCTTGCCTATCATTGTGGAGGTAAATGTGGCCACATTTCTCTTCACAGAGAAAACCGAGGCACAACTTCCCAAGGATATTTTCTGGGAATCGCAGTGAGAAACCTTGGAGAGAGATCAAAACAATTATTATCTCATTTGCTGCTCTTGTGTTCTGCCAAAGTAGAATGCAATATGGAGATTGTTTACCCAGAGTGATGGTGTTTGGTTTCCTTGGCCTGTCAGGGCCAAGAGCGTGTCCAGGCTGTCGGTCAGGAGACAGACACAAGATTCTGTTCAGTGGAGTTGAGTGCTTGTGCAGTTTCAGTTTAGATGTAGTGTAATATAGTGTAACATAGTACAGAATAATATAGTATAATAAAGTAATTAATTAGCCTTCCAATATCATTGGAGTTCTAACCATTTCTCCCTGCTATGGGGGTCACCTTGAATCCAAAAATAAGGAAAATAAATGAACTACCAGAGGAAAAGCCTCACTCTGAACCTGTTTAAAAGCCAACTAGAACATTATGGCATCTCATAATGAGCAAGTAGCCCTCACTTTTTTCACATTTTTGCTTCAGAGGAGTGAAATCCTGTACTAACTCCACCAAGCAGCAACAGACCAAAAGGGCCAAAATCCTGCTCCCCTCACCCCTGTTACTCGTGGTTATTCTAAAGTCAGTTGGAACTGAAATGGGGCAGAGGTGGGTGATGCAGGAAGAGTGGATACCCTAAGTTATGGTAAGCACAAAAAGTAGGTATTAGTTTGTTGAGATACTGTATGAGCAGTGTTTACACTCAGACCCCAGAGGTTTTTCACATGAAGCCAAAACAGAAAGCTCTTTCCACAATGCACATGATTAACTTAATGCTATTTCCAATTCTAAGTAAGAGTGCTCATCAGATTTTAGCAGGCTCAAATAGTTTCACATGGGTTCCATACCAGCAGTTGTTTCAGATCATTTTCTGAGAATCAAGAAAAGGCTTAGAAAAGGCTTCTGAAACCTTAACATTTCCATAGAGGTGTCCAGTGGTATTCCCCCCAGTTTATGGTATTTCCTATACCAGTAATCCACCACAGAGATGCTAAGTGGGATTACTTCTGAAAAAAAATGAATCTTTTGGCCATTGCAGATGTAGGCCATACATTCTTTTAACAAGAACTAAATTTGAGGATAAGGGAAATAAGTCTTAAGGTTACCCATTTTACTGGACTTGTCAGTGGTCAGAAACAATTGTAGGGAAGATTTATTTAACAAAATGCAAGAGCACTCTGACATAGTCCCTTATGCTCCTAGAAGGTGATAACACTACCCAATCCAGCATGAATAATTCTCATGTTAAATTCCCTCTGGTGGGAACATCTGCTCTAGATAATGCCACAGGAGTCTCCCTCTATACTTAAGCAACATCTGTCAGAGTTAACAACAAAGAACTCTTGTAAGTCATTATGAAGTACCATTAGTCTCTCAAACAAGCGGTAACAGTAAATTCTCTAGTTAACCTGTACTCCAAGAAGGTATAAAACAGACATTTACCAAGTGGGAAACCATGACTGCTCCATCACAGTTTGCATTTGCAGGGTCACTTCGTTCTCTGCTTTCAATGATCTAGAAATGCAATGAAGTGCTATGAAGTTTTTGTTACTTTGAAAACAATAAAACCACTCCCAGCAGTGAAACAGTTTTTACCATTCTGAAGATAGTGTGAGAACGGCTGCTGTGTTCATTCATTTTTGTTTCTCCATAATGGCGATTTCCTGTCAAAAAACAATATTAGAATACTTGTGCTTATAATCTGATAAACAGACAAAAAGCACAGCTTGAAAACTCTCTGAAAAACTTTGGTTTATGAATATAAACCCAAAGGGATACCCCATGGTTCAACATATACCTGATTAACCAACTTTTTTAAGCCATCAGCTGACATTGTCCAAATACTTACTTTCTCCTTTTCTTATCCATTCCATAACTTGTTCTGGGGCAACCACCACTTCTTCAATCAGATCTTCTACATACGTATTCCTCTACAGAATAAACACAGTAATAAATTTTACTGAACTCCAAAACACGCTTCAATACATAAAATTAACATTACCAGCAATTATTATGATATTTATTCAACAGCTGAATGTCTTTTTACGCCAAACACAAGGGATAGGTAAAGTTTAGACTTTGACCAAAATTGTGGCATAAGGGCACAAGAATCAAGGAACAGATTAAAAAGGTTTCCTAAAAACTGAAGTGCTGAGTGAAATATCCTTCTTGTCAATTTTCTGAGGGAATTTAGGAGTATATTTCTCAGTAACTCTTATATGGACATAGTCATACAAGTGGTAAATTTCTCTTCTTCCTATGTTCCAAAACCATGACCATTTAAGGGAACAAAAAAGAAAACCCACCCCAAAACTCAAACCAACAATTTTTATTATTTCCTACAAAACTTAATATAAAGAAATTGAAGATAGTGTTAACACAGATTTCTTTTCCTATAGTGATCATCTTACTGAATAGTTCTAGTCTCATGGTTATTTTATGATCACAGTAGCACATCACTTGCTAGCTGATATGAAGATGATATCAAAGTAACTCTGTATATCTGTCAGAAACTTGAAACATATAGAGCTTAACTAAACAATTCTTGAGGTTTTACTGTCAAAGTTAAGTAAAACATATCATCCTGGAAACCTTGAGGATTAAGTCTATTTTTATAAAGATTTAGAAAGATGAATTAGCAATAGCAAACCCAAAGACACTGTTGTTATTGAACTACATCAAGCGTCCTTCTGCTAATGCTGAAGATACAATTACACTGTTTGTCTCAGAAATTTTCCACTGGATGTTTCTGAAGGCATTTTTTTTTCCCAACTTCTTTTACTCCAAGCAGATACAGTACTTATACATAACATCCACTTACATTAACATCCTCACGAATTCCCAGAGGCTTCTTTTTCCTATTATCACAAAGCAAATCAGTAATTGTTTCATTGTAGATTTCCATGTATGAAACCCTTAGCAGGAATTCTCTCTCTGGAATCTAATGTTGAAAGGAAAAAAAAAAAAATCAAATAACAGACTAACTGATGGACATCTTTTAATACAAGTATTCTTAAATTGGAGATAAAGGTTTGGATATTATTCCACAGATTTCTTTCCCTTCATCCTTGCTGTACATTAGCATCTAACAATACAGAATATTTTTTCTTCTATCCCACCTTGTTCCATCTGCATTAATGGTATACCACTTCTAAGAGTTTATGAAATTAAGATAACTGCATAACAGTAGCATGACAACAATTCCCCTACTTAAATGCCATTTCCATAAGCAATTTCCTCCTGCTTAAGCTCTTTTCTCTCTGTATGCCTTGTCCTCCCTCTGTTTGCTTGGATTTACTTTGCTGCTGCTTCTTCCCCTGCCTCCTTGGTAGAGAGTGTTGGGGTAAGGAAAGGCTGCACAACGGACTCCAGCAAAAACTTCCTGCCTTTATATATAGTTATTTCTATAAACCCTCTAAGGGTACTCTGCACCTCCTTAAAGGAGCAGTGACCATTTCACTTCACTGGTAACCAAGCACTCTGCAAATCATGTTTTGGAAATCACTGTTTTAATGTACACTTTCTCCTTACTTTTATTACTATTGAGCAATTAGAAAATCTTTTGTAAGCCTAAAATACGTAAATATAGTATCATATTCTTCCCACTTAAAAACAAGTCTTTAATTGTTAATTTTTTAGACTTTTAAAACAGTAGAATAAACACAAACCTCCACATTACCACATTAACAAGCGAGTACCTGTTTTCATTTGTAGTCAGTTTAACATATTTGGAAGGTTAAGCTTCTACTCAAAGTTAATTCTTTCACTCCCCATGTCTCAGAACCCTCCTCAGTTTTGTTCTGATTTGATTTTAACTAATAGAGTCCCATTAGCTTTTTGTTTGAAAACAAAAGATGAGCCTGGCTCATCTTTGCCAGGCTGGCAAAGGAACTGCAACATTTAGTCCAATATAAGTTAATTTCCTTCATAAGCCTCTTGATACTAAAACTAATTTTTATGTAACCATCACAAGTATTAGTAGTCTTTTCAGTCACTTCAATTTAATAGAATTGCTCACCTCACAAATAATTTTGAACACATGTTGAATTGCCTTAGGGATAATGCCCACGGAATCTTCATTCCCCATCATTGTGTAAGTCTTCCCTGAAGCAGTCTGTCCGTAAGCAAAAATTGTGCCTAGAAAGATGGTTAAGTTTTACCAACTATCTCGGAAATACATTCCAAAAGTTATTTAAACACAGTTTTAAAGCTTACCATTATAGCCTCGCACAGCTGACTGTATGATTGGAACAGCTACACCATCATACAACTGTTGAGTGTTGTCACTTGAGTGAAAGACACGATCTTAAAACAAAAAAAAAAAGCACATGAAAACAAACTGTCATTCAGTATTGTTGACTTCAAATCCAGTAAATTTGTACAATCATTTGCAGGTTAATTCAAATATAAATATTATTTTAGCACCACTAATGCAAGCTTTTAAAATTTAGTTTAAAAATAAACATTAAACACAAAATCAAGAAAGACACAATGCACAGATGATAGTAAAAAAAAAAAACCTAAGAATGATGAACACAGTTAAACAGTCATCCCATTTAATCCTAAAAGGTTTTGGCTAATTTATCCACAAGGATGGTAAGCCTGACAAGACAGATTAATTGTTAAACTCCTAGTCTGGTGCATGCTTTTACTGAACCTGTATTTTGGGAAAACTATTTGTAGTGGCTCATATTACCAAGCAGAGTGTATCAGTAAGAAAAGACTCAAAGGGAGCCAGTTGGTTATGAGGATCCAACATTCACACTAGTCACTTTTGGGACTCTGTTCTCCCGCACCCCTCTCCCTAAATGCTCTGAACTAGCCCTCGTTTAGTCCATTTGAAACTGGATTTCAGATAAAAAAACCGTGTTCCAAAGCCACACGGCATGAACCAGAACAGAGAACGCAAGGTCCATCAGGAAGCTGACCTCAAAAGCACACCGCAGTGCTGCCTGCACCAGAAATCCTGCGTGCCCCAATGACACCCCTTCGGCATTACGAAGCTGGGAAGGTTGGGGGACATTTCAAGAAGCTCAGGGCATTCACCACAGTCGACACGTTCAAGACTACGGTAGCAAAGTTCCGCGTAAGCCTTTAAATATAGCAATTGCTTTCACATTCTTACCGTAACTAAATATTTTGGTACCACTCACGTCGGAAACAGTATTATTCTCACTTCTCCAGTGCAGGGGCACTTTATCTCCTGAGGCATTTTCTCTACAAGAAGAGAGACCGTGTTACCTTCATTGGGCGAGGACTCTGTTCCCAAAACGCGGGCCCCTTACCCCGGCTCTCGCCAGCCCCTCGCTCCGCTTCCCTCCGCCCGCCCGCCCCCCTGCCCCAGCGGCGGGGCACGGCGGCACCCAGGGCTGCGGGGGGAGCCTCCCCTGCCGCCAGCCCGGCGGCTCACCTGGCGATGAGCGGTCGCACTCGCACGCACACCGTGACGGCGCCCTCATCCGCCATGTCCGACCGGGACAGGAGGAGCGGGACCGGGACAAGAGGAGCGGGACCGGGCCAAGAGGAGCGGGACCGGGACAAGGGACGGGACCGAGAGCGCCCGCCCCAACCGCCGCCGAAGTTTGAACTGCGCCCGCAGCCGCTCCCTATTGGCCCGCGAGGACGCACGCCGTGCGTGGAGCGCACCACTCGCACGAGCTGGCGGGGAGGTGTGGGGGGGTGGCCGAGGGAAGCACGGTCAGGAGCAGGCGGGTGAGCAGCTCTCGAGATACCTTCCTCCTCCCGCGTCTGCCGGCAGCGACTAGATGGTAGCGGCCAGAGAATGAAACGCTGTCGTCACCGCCGCGTCTGCCGGTGTTTTAAATACCCTCAGGCGTGGGGAATGCCGAGCCTCTGGGCAGCCGTTCCAAGGCTGGGAACCCTTCCCATGAAGGGTTTTCTTTCCTAATACGCCATGTGAAGCTCCCCTGGTGCAAACTGAGGCTGTTTTCTCTTGTCGCTTGTAACTGGGGGCAAGAGGCCAAGCCCCACCTGGCTACACCGCGCCGTCAGGCGCTTCTACACAGGGATAAGGTGTCCCCAAACCTCCCTTCCTTCAGGCTCAACACTCCCAGCTCCCTCAGCCGCTCCTCAGAGGACTCGTGCTCCAGACCCTTCCCCAGCTCCACTGCCCTTCTCTGGATGCGCTTGAGCATCTCCATCGTCTGTTGCAGCGAGGGGCCCAAAACTGAGCACAGGACTGGAGGTGCAGCCCCCCGTGCCAATGGTGAGCGGCATCACTGCCGTGCGCTCAGCCCCCAGCACCTCAACGAGCTGCCTGCTTTGAATAGCACACTTATACACACAGGAGCGACACCGTCATGGGATTTAAAAAGAAGTTTATTTAAGTAAAATGTATATATGTATTGAAGTGAGGTCTAGAAAAACAGTGTGAACATCTTGTGGGTGGTAGTTCTTAGTTCAAAGCAGCATCATTTTAGGAAGCAGACTATGTTTGCTTAGTCAAACAAACAGAAAAAGCCTTCAAGCTAGTGTGGACAGGTTTGAGGGGTGGGGAAGGAGGGGAAGACAGCTGCAAAGAAAAGCCTACAGAAATCAAAAAGAAGGCACACTCAAAAATAATTTCTTTTGCGATCAGGAAAAAAATAACTAAGTTGCAAAAATGCTTTTTATGTTCAAACTGTTAAAACAATCTGTTTTCTTCCATATTTTAATCATCCTCCCCTTCCTCTTCTTCCTCTTCCTCAGCTTCAGCTAAGGCTTCTTCCTGCGCAGCCTTGAAAGCTAGTTCCTCTTCCACAGTGGGGTCTACTGTCTCAGTGATTCCTGGCTCAATGGGAAATTCTACTTCTGCTGGCGGGGGTAGTGCAGGAATGTGGTTTTCTGGATTGTATTTGTGACCCCAGCCAAAGTAGATGTTCTCAAATTTCCTGAAAAAGAGAAGTGAAAGATCACACATTCACCCCCTGGCAAAATATTAGCAGAGAGACCGTCGGGCATCCTTACTTGCTGCGAAGGAAGTCACTGTGGGGCAGATATCCTGTAGCAGAAGAATTTTAAACACAGCATCTCTTTTTAACTGGCCTAATGGCTATTAATACATTTTCTATTTAAAATGATGAAGTGGCACTGCACTGCACTGCAGTAGTGTGTAGTACTGTGTAGTGGAAATCTACATGGAGGTAATAATCACGTGTAGTGGAAACAAACGAACATTAGAACCACAGAATGTAGCTGGTTTTGTAAAAAGTCCCACAAACACAAGGGTGTGTGTTTTAAATCAAGGACTGTGCTCAAATACTAATTCAGTGTTTACATCCATTAATTTTATGCCAGCCTTTCCAAATGATTATTTGTTTTCAGTCTTAAATACCTATCTACTGTTGCTGTGCATATTTAAGTGGCCTTCTCCATCAGTCTCTGGAATAGCTGGAACTCAGTCAATGAATTAATAATAAAGTAATCTGCCTGCATTAGAGAGGCACCTGTGTGTAGCACATACAGTCAGTGTTGTAACCATGTCAGGTGGACTCTCACCTGCCAGTTGCAAAGGCATAAGCTCCAGGCCACCGGTTAGACTGCAGGATTGCAACAGAATATTCCGGGATCAGGTTTGTAGAAGCCCGAACTGTCCAAGCAGGGATGTTTTTCATGCCTGGAGACAGCCAAACACACACTGTCTATGAATAAATGGACTTGACAAGCCTCTACAAAATACTTAAGACTGAGCTACAAGACTTGCACAGAATTCAAGCAAGGTTTATGTTAAGTTGCACGACAGAAAGAGCCAGAAGTCAGAAACAGTAAGTGCAGGCACTGTTTTCCAGCAGGTGGTTTGCATGTATGGGTAGGTAGGACAGGAATGCTGATATACCCCCCACATATAGAAAAAATTCAGTAGCACTCACCCCTGGGTCTTTTGTCAAGGACTTTTTATCACTTATGGATAAATTGTATAGCTATATTTCACCTTGATTAAAGAATGGAGAGTAGAAAAATAGTCAAATATTGATGTAATCTAATATTCAGGCTCCCTTATCCCATGATTTGCTGCAGTGATATGCTGAAAGATTAAATTCTTATACAAGTAATGTATATCAGTGCATATGTGTACCTATTAATTGTTCTATTTACTTACACATAAACATACATTTTTCTTTTTTCCTAAAAAGATGAGATAAAAATAGCTGAATGTATTTCATGTAGTAAGCTGTTCTGAACTTGAAATAACATGACAAGTCTAAATTATTTTTTTCATCTCAACATGATGTTACCTAGTAAACCTGATTATTTCAGTTTTAATGTCAATACTATTAAGCATTTTGCTTTTGATTGATTTTGTAAAAGAATGTGTTTACCCTACAGAGGCAAAGTATATTGCTCCAAGAAGTGTCAGAGTTTTATAACTTCAAATATTTACTGCTAAATGACAACATTCCTAGAGACTCTCTACCAAATAGTAGAGAAGAATAGAATTCATGAAGAATACCTTCATCTTCAGAGATTAGAGTAAGAAGGGGCTGTCCCCTTTCTTCCTGTTGCTCTTCCTCCTCCTCCTCTTCCTCCTCTTCATCATCATCTTCATTTTCCTCTGATTTTTGAACAGGATTAATCCAAACACAGCGACCCTATAATATATGTGGAAAAGTAATAAATACATGTAACAATCACTGAAAGAATGCAAGTTAAAACTAGTTAGAACAATTGGCTCAGAAACACACAGTTAAGGGATAGGGAGAAGAAAAATACATATTCCATAACTGGAATATTGTTAACAAAATATTGTATCCTCTTGGCAGAATGTTCCCCTCATTCATTCCTGCTTACTGTTTGAGAATAACCTTATACCTCTGTCATCACCTTGTTGTCATTTTGTATTCTTCAGTTCCTGGCCAGTTTGGTTTATATCCTTACTAGATTACTAGTTACTGCAAACTATGGACTTATACCTTCTCTATAAAATCTGCCTTGTTATTTGGCTACCAGTCAGAGAAACATAACAGAATGGTCTTAAGATTCTAATGCATGCTAATTTTATTTTTTACAATTATTGTTTTGCTGGTAGTAAGCTTAAAACTTATTTCCTGTCATTTGCTGTTATTTTACACTGGCATTCTTGAATTAGTAGACTGGCCATCAAATCATCCAGCAATGAAAACCAAGTTAGTAATACCTCTTTCTAGCACTAGTCTGATAGAACATGTTTTAAAGTTTTTTCATGGGAATTTTTCACAGCAAAAAGTATAAAATAAAAAATTAACCAGAAGAAAATACCACATAAGTTCCATTTAGCATAACAACCATAAGCTATCTGCTTTTTAGCATCCTACCCGAGAAAAGAAAATTTTAAACACTTTTGTCAAACAAGGATCTCAAAGAAGAAAACCTAATAGAGAAGATTGCAATAAATGATTGTTATCCATCAGGGCCTAGCTCCATACTGTTATTTAAAGACAGGTTTCAATCTCAAGAACACATCACTGGAAAGAGTACTAAACCTAGAGGGTTCCTCTATATATATATATATATGGCTTTTAAGCCCTTTTTCATTACTTTCAGAGGGATCTATGGGGTGATCGGGTCTGGTCTGTACGGGGTTCTGAGCAGGCTGGTGTAGCGAATGGCGTCCCTGCCTATGGTATCAGGTGAGAAGTAGGTGATGGCTAATGTCCCTTCCAACACAAACCGGCCCTGTTCTGTGAAGCTGTGAAGTGCTGTTAATACTTTCCCTTGAATGTTTGTGGTATGAGTCTTTCAGCTGTCTGCTGAGAGCAAAATAGTGGTTCTTCGAAAGTTTAATCTTGTTTTGCAAGGTTGTTAATTTGCCTTCAATTGCTTTCATGTGTGTTTTAGTGGTGGTATGTTGTTCATAAAGCAGAAAGGTTTTTCTTTTAAGAGAAAAAAAATGTATATTCCTGGATCCAAGGGGAAAAAGCCCCAAGCAGTTACAAGTGAAGTTGGAATGAAGGTGCTTGGCTAGAAAGCATAATCAGTGTTAATAAGAGAATATAGAATCTGCTGAGTTGGAAGAGGCCATGAGGATCACTTAGTCCAGCTCCTGGCCCCGCACAGGACACCCCACGGGTCACAAAAATAGATGGTGTATGTAAATACATGCAAGATATTTATGTGTTATATAACATACAAAAAGACATGTTTTATGTGTCAGATATTTTGGTATGATATGTGATATAAAATGTATTTTCTATATAAAAAATTTTCAATCCACTACAATTTCTGGTGAATAGTTTGCATGTGCAGGTGAGGAGTGTCAGTCACACTCTGTAACCCCACAAGCACTGCAGTGTAAGTGGTGTCCAAGGCCCACGTGAGCTATGCTGGCACACACCTGCTTCAGAATGTCCTTGACATGGTGTGCCCACGTGGCAAGGGACTCCACCATTTCAGACACAGGAGAAGGCTCAAACTCCGGGTTTTCTTCATAGGTATCTGCGCCTTCTTCTTCTTCTTCGTCCTCTGGAAACTGGTAGAATCCAGTGGGAGAGACATGGGTTCCTGCTGAGATTCGTGCTATCTGTGCGCGCAGGTAATTGGCCTCATTCCCAGGAAAAGGAGGGAAGCTCACAATAGGAGCATCCAAGCGACCAGTGAAGAACTTCTTGATTTGCCTGGCACAGACAATCTGGGCTGGTGTCACTGGAGGCAATTTCACCCACGGTTTGCCTGGCTCGTTACAGACAAAGTAGACAAATTTATTTGTCCCAGTCCCATTTGCTTCTTTTGGGATCTCAGGTGGGGGTTTATAGGTGGACTTTGGTGGTTCAGGTTCTTTTTCTTTCTGCTCCTCTTCTTCTTCTTCACCCTCACCCATCTCTTTCTGTTCTTCCGCAATAGCTTCCTCTCCTTCTTCTCCTGTTTCCTCCTCCTGTTCCCCTTCCCGTAACTCTACTTCAGCTATAATATAGTTCATTTCCAGGCCCAAAATTTTGCCCCAGAAGCGACAGGTCTGGATTGGCTGAGCATTAATTAGGTGTTTAAAGGCAAGGAATATGTAATAACATTCATCTTTGCTCAGGCCAATTCCAGCCTGTTCAAAATAAAAGGCTGTTTCCATCACATTTGGTAGAGCAGGCTCTCCCTAGGAAAGAAGATTCAGAGTTAGATAATTGTAATTCACTTTCCTGTAGTGCCACTCATTATCTCAAAGTGCTTTGCAGACATTCATTCACTACTTTTTTTACTATCATTCAGAAAAATTAAAAGTATTTTATTGGTAAAGAAGAGAAGATGAACACAGGATTTAAAAATTTCAACTCCTAATTACTGCAAAATAAGGAAAGTCAGCATTCTCACACAAGATCTACAAGGTATTCAGTACTAGGGCATGTCAGCTAAGAGGCCTTGATGCCTGCAAACAGTGACACTGTGTTGCCTTGTGTTGTAGATAATACAGATTTTATATATTTAGGCACCAGAGCAACAACATTTCTCTGGGGTGAAAGTTGCTTGGCATACAGCTCCCTGCAGTTTTTAAAATATTGCCCCCTCTCTTATCAAAGTCCATTGTAAGACTCCATCTGGCTTCAGTGGAAGCAGAACTAGGCCAATAATTAAGTATTTCCAGTTGCTCTACCACCCATCTCTCATTTTATGGGGGGTAGGTGATCATATAACACAGAGTTATTAGAAGTTGTTACATGACCGGGTAGGGAATTTGGAAGAATTAGTGCTAGTTTCATATGGAATTTCTTTGGATCTATGGATCTGACAGGTTTCTTATAACAAAGCAAGATTGATAGGATTATGAAAAATTCAGAATTCCTTTCTGAAATACCCTACCTTTTTCCCATTTTCAGCATCTTGTCATGTTAATGTGAGATATATAACAGGCTATGGAAAAGATGAAGGACTATCTCTTCTGTGGTTGGTATTTGTACTCTGCAACGGTAATTAGTTAGATATACTGATTTCCCTTAGCTATTATAATTCTTATTTATATTCTTTTATTTCTCATTATAAGATTTCTCATTTTTCCTTGGGTACAAATGCTTCTGCATATAAGCAACTGAAGAATAAAAAAATCCTGTTTGAAGAAGTGGCTTTTCACTTGTATTAGTTCTCCATTAAAACCATATTTGGTTTCAGTTGGAGAAGGACAGACTGGAACTGCACCAGGTGCTGGAAGAATCACAAAATTCTGCATTTTGCTATTTTACAGTAGCAGCTGTGCACAATATTGTCAAAGAATATGTCAATAAGAATATATCTCGAAGAAGAATGTATGTTGAAGAATATATCAAGATTTATGGTCACTTTAGGTAAAGAAACATCCCTTTTATAAAAAGAAAATAAACTTGGATGCAATATTCTGTGCTGAACTGGCATATGGGAGATGTTATAAACCTTACTTTCTGTTTATCACCTCTAGAACATCCCTGATTATAACGGTTCAGGATATTAGATTTACATCAGGAAAAAATCTCAACTAAGCAACCAGATGGGTTTTCTTCTTCGCAAGTAGACATGGGACGAGCTCAGCTGTGAAGAGGTTACGTGATGCTGTGACTGCAATTATTTGTACGGTCAGGAGAGGCAGCACTGCAGAAGAGACCACAACTTCCTCCCTTTCTCCTTTCCCTTCTCACCATCCGCCCACCCCTTCCCTGGTATATTTGGTACCTGTTTCATTCCGATAGTAACTCACCATCTCTTCATCTAGTTCTTCACGATCTTCTTCTCCACCTTCCTTGAAGAACAAAGCTTTACACTTTTCTGCAGCTTCAAATGTTGGAGGGATCAGATGTTCGTCTCGAAGAGTGTCCATTTTTTTCCGGAACTGCGCCCACTTCACATCCTGGCTGATAGTCTCAATTATGTCTACTGTATTTGTGGGCTGTTCATCCAGGATCTTTGTTAGTATGCTAGCAAAATGATCGTATCTGTAATATAAATGTAAATATTGTTGGCTTACTATACAAAAGTCTTAGAATATTATGCTTTTGGCAAAAAAAGTAAAGGGTAATCATCTGGATCTTTGGAGAAATTATTGGAAGAGTTAGAAGAAAGGGGATCATGGAGCCTTAAGGCAAATAAGGGTTAAAACTAGTCTGATTATACTTAAGAGCATTCCCATCCTCCATTTCTAGTACATACCCCACCTGCCTATGAGCTAAATCTGAATTTAAACTTATTCTCAATCATATCAACTTGTTTTTGAACTCTCTATAAATAAATTCCAGTAGGGATTTTGTTTCTGAGAGATGGTGGACACTAGTATTCAAGTTTCACTAGTGATGAAATATTGCATGTATAACATTATCCCATTCTGTATGTACCTCCCTTTGTCCTTTTACCTTTCTCTCCGCTCATACTTCCTACCCTATTTGATTGTGATCCTTCTTCAGACTTACAAGTTCAGGCCAGATTTTGTGCTGGTCTTCAGTAAATAGGCTTTTGCATTCTTGATTGCCAGCATCCGGGCTTGGGGATCGGGAATCTCATCCTCATACGGGCTGTATCCCGGCTGGTCAAGACCATAACCCGGCTCGTGTGGCTGGTAAGGGCCATGCCCACCGTCATAAGCATCTTGTGGGTAGGCACTTTGTGGTTCCTGTGAAGGGTCTGATTCCGGGGAGTGATCCATGTTGCACCGTGTCCCTGGTGCCCTGGGAGCCTCGTACCGCCGCGTCTCTGGCCGATGTTTGGCAGCGGCACCTGCAGCTGCTCACGGCTTGCGCTGCTGGCCGAGGGCGGCCGAGGTGTACAGCTGGGCTCTGTGACCGACACCGTGCTTGTCCTGCTGCTTCCCCTGTGCTCGGTGCGCGTCCTGGTACGCCTGAGGGATGCTTTTCCTCGTGGCTGCTCAGACCCTCGCCTTATCTCCCGGTGTTCCCAGGGAGCCGGTTCGGACCTCTGGGGCTGCAGAGGGTCTCAGGGGGCGGCAGCCCGGGGCCACGCTGGGCCGGGTGAGCGGTGCGGGGGTTGTGTCCGGAGCACAGGCGGGCTCGCTCGGGCCCTTCCCGCGGGCCGGCCTGGGGCGGGGGCTCGCTGGGGCCCGGGGTGCGGTGCGGCCCGGCCCGGCCCGGCCCGGGGACTCCGCGCGGCCCCTTAGCTGCAACGGCGGCGGCGGGCGGGGCGTCGCCGGGGGAACGCGGCCGCGGGCGGGAGGGCAGCCCCAGTGACCCGCCCCAGCTGCCGCGCCCCTTTCCAGAGGCTTTTAAGCCCTTTTTCATTACTTTCAGAGGGATCTATGGGGTGATCGGGTCTGGTCTGTACGGGGTTCTGAGCAGGCTGGTGTAGCGAATGGCGTCCCTGCCTATGGTATCAGGTGAGAAGTAGGTGATGGCTAATGTCCCTTCCAACACAAACCGGCCCTGTTCTGTGAAGCTGTGAAGTGCTGTTAATACTTTCCCTTGAATGTTTGTGGTATGAGTCTTTCAGCTGTCTGCTGAGAGCAAAATAGTGGTTCTTCGAAAGTTTAATCTTGTTTTGCAAGGTTGTTAATTTGCCTTCAATTGCTTTCATGTGTGTTTTAGTGGTGGTATGTTGTTCATAAAGCAGAAAGGTTTTTCTTTTAAGAGAAAAAAAATGTATATTCCTGGATCCAAGGGGAAAAAGCCCCAAGCAGTTACAAGTGAAGTTGGAATGAAGGTGCTTGGCTAGAAAGCATAATCAGTGTTAATAAGAGAATATAGAATCTGCTGAGTTGGAAGAGGCCATGAGGATCACTTAGTCCAGCTCCTGGCCCCGCACAGGACACCCCACGGGTCACACCACGTGCCCCAGAGCATTGGCTAAAGGCACTGTGAACTCAGACAGATTTGGTGCTGTGATCACTTCCCCAGGGAGCTTGTTCTGCTGTCCAACTACGCTCTGGGTGGAAAACCTTTTCTTGGTATCTGACTAAACCTCCCCTGACTCAGGTTCATGCTGTTTCTTCAAATCCTGCCACAGGTCAAGAAAGTGAAGAATTAAGGAGACAGGTGGCCAGAATGTGAGTTAACTTTTGTTTGCAAGAGTGTTCAAACACTATGTTGTTTAAAGAATTGGTGTTATTTCCCATTATCCTACTCTGATCTCATTGGCAAAGGATGAGGACTGTTTCTCCAAGGCAAGTCTGTTTTGCCTGTGACAGTAATAGGTGAAAGATCTTCCTGCTTGACCTGTTGTGTTTTTTTCTCCCCTCTCCAGTTCAAGAGAAGAAGTGATGGAAAATTGATTTTGGGGGGCACCTGGCATCCAGCCAGGGTGAAACCAATACAGTGCTGTAAAAATCTCAGCTGAATGCCCTATGAAAGTTATAAGTTGGGTTAAATAAAATAAATAAAGTGGTGCAATACCAGAACTGTAAAATGTACTTCTCTGTCACTGATGGATCAGCTAATGTAACTTTTAAAAAGTGTGGTTTATTTTGGATATAAATAATATTACTTCTAATATTATTTATTAGAAGCAACCAGAAAAAAATTATGAAATAGCTATGGCAAACTTCTGTCACATTCCAAGGGAGTAAATGCTAGAAGTATCATTGAGGAATCTGACCCGTTGTGAAGGAGCAGCAGAACATACTTTTCCACACCCTTAACAGGTTGAGCATTTCTATCAAGAACTAAAACGTTTCTGCATTGTGTTCCTATGGTTCCAACATGTAATACATAATAAAAAATGTTAGTTCTGCTGGGTTTCTGCTTGTAGAGGTTTTTTTATTGATCTTTGCAAGGATCTTGCCCAGGTTCGTTTTGCAGAACTTGCCCATTGACTGCAGAGGGCGGTACAGTACTTGCAAATTACTCGTGGATTCCTTTTTATTTGATTTCCGTATCTCATATTTGGAGGGAAAACTTGTTTAGAAATTCAATTCTATTAAAACTGTATGAACTAAGTTACCTTTCTGCTTGTGTGTTGAGTGAAGTAGCTGCTCAAGAAAGGGCAAGTGCTTTGTCTTTTCAATTTTATTCAGCAGAGAAAGAAAAGTGGGGCCGCGTATATTGCAGTTGCTTAAGTTAGGACACATGTGAAATGTGCAAGGGCTCAGGACTAGTAACTCATCAGTGCAGAAGGATGTTTCACCAAGGTGCTACGATGGCCTTTTGTTGATAGAGAAAAATAGGAAATGGATATGTGCAATACTGCAGCATAATCATACTCTGATCATTGTCAGTAGCATGGGTTAATTAGCAGAACATTAACTAAAGTATTAATGTTTTCCCTTTCCAGATGAGGTTTGTATTGTCTCTGCTGTGGCCAGGTAGCCATTGTTTCTTGTCCAGTGGAATAAATTCTGCTTTTCAGTAGCTTTTTTTTTTTTTTTTTTTAACTGAACTCCTGCCTGTTACTGGCTTTGAAATGGAGATCAAAAAAATGTTGCACATAGAACTGGACAGCTGTTGTATTTCTGTACAGGTTCATTTGTGAATTTTGAATGTGTGAATTTTCTGCTGGGAAGGGAATAAAATTTAACGTGAAAAAAGCTTCCCTTTTCAGCTGATAATCCTTCTCTGCTCTATTGATTTCTTTGCAAACAAGTATTGAATTGAAAGCCCAGATTCAGGTCCCACATGTGTCTTCCTAGAAGAATGCCTTCATCTCCAGACTAGTAAGTAGCACCTGTAACTGATGAGGTGAAGCTGGTCTCTCCTGTGTAGCAGGCAAGGCACATTTAACTTAATTCCAGCCTATATAATAGGAAGCAGCTGCTGTTGCTTTCTGCTCAGAGCTTGTTCCATCGAGTAGTTGCAGGTGTGCTGGCAGCTCTCCTAAGTGGAGGGCATAATTAGTAGGTTCTTGTTGGATTTCCTATGGTACAGGTTTCAAACTGTATGCTGTGGTCAAGACTCCAGTTCCTGAGGATCTCAAGGTGATCTTCAGCTTTTCCTTTACACTGTGTTTATGGATTAAACCCTTATACTTTTTCTGACTGCTTCTAAATTACTTCAAGAGCAAAGGTACTTGAAAAGTACAGATTTTGTCTTGCTACCTTTGTTAATTCTTGTTCAAAATCTATTAACTACATAACTACTTTTTAATCTCTTTTTCATAGTTTTCCATCGAGTCAAAGTTCTTCTTTGTATGTCACTTCTGATAGTAATTTCCTGCTAAATATCTAAGGAAGTTCTTGGATATATAAACATAAATATTATTCCCTGAATCTTAACTGTTTATGATGCAGAGAGGAAGAGATACTCATATAAGTTCTCCTTAAAATATGGCAGACTTTTTTTCTGTTGGTTCCAAAGTTTTCACAGAGTCGTTACTGCAGGCGTACGTCTTTCTTCTCTCATAGGGAGATTGATTCTTTCATTTCTTTGGGCTGTATGCTGAAGTCAAACTGTATTCCTCAGGTGGTCATGGACATTAGATTAGCACTGGCAGTCTGAGTTGCTTTTCTATATGAGAGCTTTTCAATATAATTGGAAAGCTGAGAGACCATCATCATTCTGCATGGGACTGATACGAAATGCATTTGGTGCTCTGAAGGAAATAATAATGATTTCTGGAGATCTAGTGCTGGCTTTTGCTCTTATTGAAGTCAGCAGGAGCTTTGCTGTTGACTTCTGTGAAAGTGAGATTAGGTCCTTTGTAATTTCACTTTCATGTTTCAACATAGGCGAGGATATATGCTGGGAGACAAACTGGTTTTAATTCTGACTTACAGTGGAGAGTTCCTGTAGTTAATGCAGAGTGTGACTTTGCATCCTGATGTGTGAATTCTGTATTTTACATTCCCTGAGTTCAGAAAATCACCATGAGTTACAGGTGGTGTTACAGTGGCAGCAGCATTGGCATGGAACAGTAAAATTTCAAAGAGGAAAAATTTTTTGTCACCTGCTAATCTGAGTTCTAAAGCTTTGTTGTAAAGTAAGCTTTTGTTCAAACTATGTTGTTACAGCGACACGGTGAGGATTTTTGTTAGGAGAAGCGCAGGAAATTAAGGCTGATAGTTTTTTAGACTCTGGAATGTCATGTCTTTGGGTATGTGATTTCTGTTACTGAAGGTGATGGTATTTCTCTGGCATTGGTCACTGTGTAACTGGCTAAAAATTGCATGGGACAGCATGATTAGTGCTTCATGGGTGGTGTATATCCAATTTATAATAATTTTCATTGATGTTGATGTATCATTCCTTACCTGTTGGTACTATCAAAACATGGTGGGTTTTGATACTTAAGAGGAGAAAGCTGAATTTTTCTGGCAAAGAGGGTGTGGCAGTTGTGCATCAATATTTTAAGTAAATGCTGAGTTTAACTGCTTCTAGCCAAGGTGCATTGTACTGGTGCTCAGGAGCTGTCCATTTTCTACAAATCTCTTAGATCGCAACTGCAGATTTTGGAGTTGTGTGACACTTTCTGGGGTGGGAAGAAAGGCAGAGCGATTCTTGCTAGCTTGTTACAGATGTGATACAGGGTTCAAATGGGTCAGTTTTGGATCCACATAGGACCAGCTCAGCTTCTGCTACGTGTTTTTGTCAACTGGTGTGCAGAGGAATCTGAATGTCTTGGTGGGGTGGGGTCTTCCCTCAGAAAGTTCTGACTATGCATAATTGTGTGTTGCAGCACTGTTCTCATCAACTGAACCTGTGGGTCATGTTGAGGATGCCCAGTTTGTTCCTCAGAGCAGGCTGATCCTAAAGATCATTGTGTTGC